AGTGGTAGTAGTGGTAGTGGTAGGAGGAGTTGAAGCAGGAGCAGGAGTAGAAGTACTAGTAGCAGCAGCAGCAGTAGCAGCAGTAGTGGCAGCATCAGCAGTACTAGTAGTAGCAGTAGTAGTATTCGGAGCACCAGCAGCAGCAGTAGCTGCTGCCGGCCAGCATATGTCCAACATGCGACCAAGGAGCAGCAGCAAAGTTCGTGGACTTATCGAGACACTTTCCGTGCAGCTCCTGCGAGGTGTCTGCTTGCGTGCATGCCCCTTGCTGCTCCGCTGTCCAAACCCGATAAATTCAAGCCCGGCGACGAGTCACTATTCGCGACTGGCCGAGAAACTTGTCCGCACAGGCAGGTTCTACTCTCAATTCATCGGCCTTGAAGCCTTCAACACAAGGAAGCAAAGCCGTCGCTGTATCCCGGGGCCTCATAGTAGTCGTTGGCGGCAGCTAGCTGCTGTTCCGTTGCGAGGAGGTCCACCTTCGGAGGCGCTTCGCTTGTCAGCTACGGACTCGAGCTCTTAGTCTAAATGCCGAAGTATTCGAGCCAGTTGCAGTACCGACTTCACTCTAGTCTCATGTCCACCTTGCGCTGGCTCAGCACATTGCTCTGGGAGGAGATAGTCCTCAGGTCCCGAGCCCGGCAAAAGCTCATGAAACAGGGTGATCCAAGATGCACTGCAACCCTCAAGCTTGAACCTAGGCCTTGATTTCGTAGATGTTTGGAGGAACAGGCTTAACACCTATTGCTGAACCCGGTCGATGCAAGCCCGTCGACATTTCGTTCTTTTGCTGCGTCGTCTGCTTCTTCGACCGATCCTTAGATTTGACCAGCTCCATTTTCGATTCACCGAAACTGGAGGGTTCTGCTGTCCTATGGAACTGGACAGGCGTGCGACAAAAATCTCGAAATCCGAAGTTGAAAGTGGACAAGCTGTTGCCAAGGTACCTCCTGAGAATCCGCAAGGAAGGTCTGGAACTCCTGTGCATGACGGTACGCCAAAAGTCGGAAGCGGGAGCGAAAATTGAAGGAGCAAGGCGACAGGTAAAGAGTTTACTCTTTTAGGAGAGGTCTACACCGCAGTCGAGCCAGTGTGCCTTCTCGGCAGTGTTCTCTGTGGCCTGGATTTCGTTAGCCTGCGATGTACTGGAACGGGTGCAGGCATGCAAGACTCAATGCAGGCAAAGCGTATGGCAACTGGGAAGCTGGCCTCCTGAGCAAGGTCGGCTGTCATCTCCTGCATCCTGCAAGGCTATGCTACGCTGGAAGCTGTACTCCTTCATGCTACTGCCGCAAGGGGAGGGTGAAGCACACGGCGCCGTGCCGAACTCAGGATTTTGGCCGAGGCTCAGCTCGAGCACTTTGCTCTGCCCCGAGTCGCCATAGTCGCCTTAGCTGCCGGGCACTGCAGGGGTGCTTCTGGAGTAGGAACATATCTCCCATTACATGCTATCGTGGCATCTCGTGCTGCCATGCCGCCGGCAGCGAATTCGGGCTTTCGGCTGTCCTGCAAGGCTTTACCCCAAATCTAGATTGCTTCAGGCTGAACTTTGGCAATGACAGCTCTCACCGGGATGCTGCGAGGCCTGCACACCAAACAGTCCCCACTCGTGTCTCAACGCCTACCTACTGGCACATATACATGCACACGTACATGCATTCAGAGACAAAGCGACAGGGAGAGACAAAGAGAGAGAACAAGTGAGTGTGTGAGTGCACATGTCATGCAGAAAAAGCGAAAGAATGAAGGGAGGGAGGACCCACTTGCGGCTTGAGTCTGATGGGATGTCAGCATTCAGCATGAGCTGTCTTCATACACGGACTGCACAGCCCCGCACGCCTGATGGTGGCTCTCATTGCTCCTCGAAAGCAGCCGAAGCAGAGAGTGGATCGACAACATTCTCTCTCCTCTCGAATAACAGAGCCTTCGAAAAAGAAATCCAGCTAAAGGAGGCACACCATTTAACGAAGCCGGGCACATACAAATTGAAAAGGCCCTCGCTCCTGAGCTGGACGAAGGAGGGCCCCAAATTACTGTAGAAGTCTCGCAGGATCTGCGTCGCTTCTGCCACGGCCTCCTTGCCCTGGGAAGTCGTGAATGTTCCATCTCTTCTACAACTGCATAGCTGCATATCTCTACATCGACTTTGCATTCCCTTGGTCTGCCTCAGTGGTCTCGTGGAGGTTCTTCAGATTGGCAGCCTTCCTTAGGAAAAATCTCGTCTGGTCTGCGCCACAGCACACGCTGCGACACGCTTTCCCGTTTAGAAGATGCTACAGTCTTCTGAAGACAAGGCAGCAGAATTAGAAGTTCCGCCAGGGCTCTCCTCCTCTCTCATAACCGTGGTATCCTTGATGCTCTTATCCAGCGCAGAGATGTCCTCGGCTGAGCTTTTTGCAGCAAAGCTCAGTCCTTAAAACGTCGATGCACTTTAGCTCAAAGGGGGACCGTGGTCTTTAGGTCCAAACTCCATGTTGCCAGTCTTGCTCCAGGTCTCCGAAGCTAGCTTGCTGTTCTCTTCGCCCAGCTCTGCCAAGAGGGCCCTGGGCTGTGGGCATTGGGTGGACGATTCATGCTTCAACACCCCCTGCTCTGCGTGCCGAACCTCCGCCCCAATCCTTCCAAGCTCAGCCATGACATCTTCAATCGGAGCTTTTTGGCTGGGATCACGACCCCGTTCCTGAAATCCGAGCCCATCTCAAGTGTCCCTGCATCGAGGCTCTGGAGGCGGTCGATCTCGGCCTCCAACAGGTGTCACCGTGTAACTGAAGATGGGGATGCTAAAAGAAAGTATACATATCCGATGGAAGAGTAGAGTGTCACGTCAATGTCGTAGTACACACCAGTCCGTCACCTGTCCTGTTCTGATTCTGCCATCTGATGTGTCGTTAGTTCTCCATGAAGTCTTTCAAGTCTCGTAGGCTCAGAAGAGATTCACAGTGGAATGACTTCCTGCCACCCCTCATAGGCTTGCCTTGAGCTCCTCGATCTCGCTCGTCTTCGTTTCACGGGCCTGCTGACATGGCTTGCACGAGTGTACGGATGCGTTTCTATTTACGGCACATACGTAAATAGACAAACACTCATGCGATAGCATCCGCACACATACACATTTTCCCTTAGGTACGTATGCATGTATGCAGTACGCATGCATACCGAATAGCTGTACCTATGACGCCATCCCTGCAAACCTGCCTACCTACCTGCCTGCCTGCCTGCCTACCTACCTACCTACCTACTTACCTACCTACCTACCTACCTACCTACCTACCTACCTACCTACCGACCCACCTACCCACCCACACACCCACCCACCCACCTACCTACCTGCCCACCCACCCACTCACCCACCGACCGACCTACCGACCTATCGACCGACCGACCTACCTACCCACCCACCTATACACCTGCCAGATCTATGCTGCTCGGTTTTCAATCACGGTTACGCACTTCCACACGAAAGGGGGGGTCCTCGCCGTTGGTCTTGAGCTCCTTGTCGCACCAAACCTGGCAACAGGATGGGCATCTTTGGTTGTGCGCAATGCGCTCTGCCTTTTTTTGCAGCTGCTAAGCGGGGAACCCACTCTGAAGCCCCAACCCCTCAAGCGTCCACAGGGGAGGGGCAGGAGAGGAACTAAACTCCCAAGCTTAGGGCACAAATCGTTCCACGAAGGAGGATGCTCCTTTGTAGCGATTATCGGGGTGCTGTGAGTTCTGCCACCCCACCACAGCAGCAATGGGTGCCAACTAATCGCTGGTCGCTACATGTGGAGTAGTGTGGAGCCACGGCCTGCTGGGAAGCATCGTCCACATCAGAGTTCTTGATTTTGGACATCAGCTCCTTCTCACGGTTTCCTACTCAAAGACGAGAACGCAAACTGGCAAGGAAAGACGGCACGGCTTCATGCTCAACTCCTATCGTCCACGGCTGGCCCATGCCTGGTTCTGGCCCTTGCCCCAGACAGCGCCAGTTGTCCACCCCTAACTCACAAACGACCAGTCTTGCTCCATGCTGCCGTCAGTCGTGGACTATGCAAACACGCCGTCATCCTAGAGTTAAACAGTTCTAAGTGGGCGCGATTCGCAACTAAGCCGATATTTTGTCCATGGACAGTGGGGACAAGTGAAGGGAGACTTCTTGTTCCGACGTGCTGACAACATGGAATCTCGCAGTGCGTCCTTGAGCATGGCAGCTATCCTCTGGACAGGACCTGCTGCGCCATCCGGCACGTCCTTCTGCCTTCAAGTCACTCTCTCGGCTCTCCCACTGCGGCACTTTACGCGCAAAGTCGTCAAAAGAATATGCCACGTCTAGACTTAGAATGTCAAGGAGAAGGAAAGATGTGTTTGCAATGCCAAAGGCATCCATGCTTGAGAGCTAAGGGCCAAGGAACATTGAAGTCTCTGACCTTCAAGTCTGAATCCTGGCCTCAGCCGTTCCACCAGAACCCGCAGGGTGGTGCTGTCCAGCGCCGTGGCTTGTGCCTGAGTTGGACAGAATATTCAGCTGCGGGCTTCGCTAGGTATCTGCCGTGATGATGTTGGCAAAACATCAAGAAGCAGCCAGACCTGTGCATCTGGAACAATTCAATAAGCCGTGTAGCCCTGCTAAAGCCGAACAAATTCAGGCTAAATGTGGCGGCACACGGACCTCATCACCACCACAGGCTGCCAGTATGAGAGTGGATTCATCGGCCATCTTTTGGGGAAACTGCTGGTCTCTTGGCCGGTTTCAGGCTACATTCGCCCCCAAACCCTACACCTCTTACGAACCGCTCGGAAGCCAGATAGTGGCAAATAGAACCATCAAAGAGCAGTCCTCAAGCCCTCCTCAACCCGCGTGTCATCTTTGCAGGCTGCGAAGCCTGTAAAAAGCGCAGTGTGCGATCCAAGACAGGGTCTTGCCGCCGGCCTGGTGGCTGTAATGGGCGAACATGACCCATCTGATCGTGGCTTGATGACTCCATCAGGTCGCAAATGCCGCTCGAGTCAGGCCTTCGGCGCGGAGCGCCGCCAAGGAAGTGCCTCACCACCAGTTGGAGGAGACAGTCAGTCTATGAATGGAATTGGTCTTGCAAGAAAATGAGAGATGTCCTGGGTCGGAGAGACCAAATGCCATGCCTGCATGGAGATACGGCGAGGTTCTCGACAAAATGATCTTCAGAGCCTCAGCGCAAACCAAGAACAGACTATGAGCAACAGCGTCCAGCTCTGCCATTAGGGCCTCGGGCCACCTTCGCGAGGCATGACACACCAGCAAGTCCTAACCAGTAACCCGACTGCATCAAAGAACGGCTGAGCTTCTTCCCGTATTTTCGACAGTCCTTCATTAGGACCTAATGTTTAGGGCTTTAACTTCTCTCTTGTATAACTTTTGGTTTGGCATCTTGCTATCCCTAAACTGCCCCAAACATTCCCAGATTCTGGTCAAGTCGAACGGCCTGCGTTATGGCCGTCATTTCGTCGGAGCGCAGCCGCTGGCGCTCTGCGAAGTCGCTGGCCTCCAGGCTCTGGGCACCAGGTTGCATGCACGTGCACTTGTGCTCAGTTCCTTCGTAGCGCGCAAGGCAGCGATGAAGTGTTGGGACACACAGCCGCTAGGCCTTGACCTTGCACTCGGTGTCCAAATCGCTGGCGAGCTTCCTGAAAGTAACGGACGTACAGGTTTTGAAGAAGCAGCACGGGCATCAACACTCTCATGCTTTGGTCGTCGTCATCGTTGTCTTCGGTGTAGAAGAAGTATGGAGCACGAGCCATGGCAATGTTGGCGGTAACAGGGCCACTGGAAGTGGTGGTGGTGGTGGTGGTAGTGGTGGTAGTGGTGATGGTGGTGGTCGTAGTAGTAGTAGTAGTAGTAGTAGTAGGAGTAGGAAGAGGAGGAGGAGGAGGAGTAGTAGTAGGAGTAGCAGTAGCAGTAGCAGGAGCAGCAGCAGCAGTCGCAGCAACAGGAGGAGGAGGAGGAGGAGGAGGAGTGGCAACTGCGGTGAGAAAAGCCAACAACGCAGCCACAACCACTACGATCGACCACAACATCACCACCACCTGCAATGGTGGCATTGTCATCTTGACCACTCAGAGTTGCAAGCTACTCAGCTACTTCACGCTCTTGGACGAGAGTCTGGTCCGCTGTGTAGTCCTCGTCCAACTTTGCCTTGGTTGCCTGTGCTCTTAACAGAATTCACAGGCGAAAGCCGCCGCACAAATCACAAAGACTTCATCCTACAATCATCAATGTCGCAATCGTCGGTCATTGGCCCCTCCCTCGGAAAACTGTTGCCTTGCCTCCTTCTCCGCCTTTTGGCTCAGGGTCGAGCTCCTCCATTCAGGTGTTGCGCTTCGTGAGGGCTTACCTTTAAGGGCAGGGCCAATTCATAGTCTGAAGCTTGAAGTTTCAAGTCAGGGCAGGCAATCAATCCTTTGACGTGGCAGCAGAGCCCCTGCTGCTTGCTCTCCAGTATCCCCGCGGGCTCTTGAAGGTGCCCTTCTTTTCTGTGGCCTTCTTGGAGACATCCTGACAGGATCTGGCGTTTTGAAGCCAGGTTTATCGGACAAATGAAAAACGAAGGACTCCAAGATGTACTGCAAATCTTGTCGGCATGCTTGCAGTCTCCCTGCGACCCTAGCACCAACATTTCATCAACAACTGTGCATTCTGAAGACTCCTGCCAGCAAAGAATAGCAAGTCAAGAGGCAATCCCATTGTTCAGGCTCGTCAGCAGAAGGTTGTAGCCTGGAGCTGTCATGCATGGGATCCACTGAGCCGGCATGTCTCCCTTGAGCACAGGTGTGCTGCCGTGGTCACACTGCATGGGCACTGCAGAGTCCAAGGCTTCAATTAATCTGAGCTGCTGTTCTTCTTCTTGGTCTCGGCCATGTCAGCCTCGGCCGTCTGGTTGACGAACTTGGCTTGAAGCATCTTCAGCATCTCAATGACGTTCCCGGACTGGAACCTGCTGAGCATTGCCGGCTGTCCTCTAGCATGGCCACAGATCCACTGCCGGGACAGGATTCGCAACAGGCGAGTGGCTCGTCACGGCTAGTCTGAGTCTACAAGAAGCCTTTTCGATTGTGGTTTCGGCTCTCTGAGGCCGGGTCTCATATGCATCTGCCTTGGGGGCGGTTGGCTTCTCCATGGAGAACACCTCGGGCCAACCAAGCGGGGCGGAAGGACCAAAGCTGTCATGTCAACAAATTCAGCAACAACAACATCTGCACTAGCGGTATGGGCAACTGTGGCAGGGGAGCAACGGTCCAAAGTCCGCAGCAGAATGGCAGCCGTAGGTGATCAGAGCGGCATGTGCAGCAACAAACGAGGAAGATCAAACCAAAAACAATCACACCATCTCCCTTTCTCTCTGACATAGAGCGCTGTCAGTCTTGGCAAGTATGCTGCTGTCAAGGTGCAGGATGACTCAACCGTAGCTCAAAACATCAACTGACCCGAACTTGCTTTGGCCGGCCTTGGACAAGCTGTCCAAGTCCTCTTCGGAGAGGTGTGCGAGCTCTGCAGCGCGGTGCACCTTCCCGCAATTTCCCATTGCATCCTTCGGATCTCCTTGCTGTCTACTCGGCAAGAACTGACCATAACAAAGTGCTGTCGCCGCCTGTCGCCGTTACAAGTAGGTGGAGTGGCGTCACCAAGTCTAGCTTTGGCAGCGACAGCGACAGAAGGACAGGAAAATGAGAACCCGATTTATGTTCTCTCCGAGCTTGGACTTGAGGCTTTGTCTCTACGTGGTCGAATAAACACACTTCAGAAAATCAAATTCGTCTCACCTGTGACGTGAACAGCCAAACAACGCATGTTTCGGCAAAGCCTTGCTATGGGGGTGGTGGGGTCAAGCCACATGGTGTTAAGCCCTGTATATGTCTATAGGCTGCCAGTGCATACGATTGTAAAGCTGTGACTTCTTGCCCGTGGCTGCGCACTCCTTGCTGAAGATGTTCTCGCAATCCAATTGCCCACGCGAAAGAGGTTGAACCCCGTGCGCCTGAACCAAGACCTGCTCCCGGTCATAGTCCTGCATGCCGTTTCCGCTTGGGCTTCAATACTTACGGAAGCCCACGTGTATTGAATTGGGAAGCTGTTCGGCAAAGGCCTGCTCCTGCAAGGTCTTCAGGGCAGCATCAATTGCCTGTACATAAAGCGAGAACTCCCACCCAGGACAGGCTCACGTCCTATCGCAATACCAAGCAACTCTATTCAATTCTAATCAGAATGAACGTGATTCTGGCAGACTTTGCGCTGTAAGAACTATTGCTCATGCTCATCGAAGCTCCTGTGATAGTCATAATCTCCGACACCGCACGCAAAGAGTAATCGTAGCAGTAGCACTATACCCATACCCCTTAGCATCTTCTGTGTGAGCTGCTGTCACGGACTCTCCCAGGTCGGTCTTCAAGGCGTCGTAGTCGGCTGCTTCAGCCTCACGGACCTGATCCCACCAAGTTGCGGATACTGCAGTAACTGTAGTTCTAGGTAGTACTAGCATATCCAACCTTTCCGATGAGGTTTAGCCACCGTCTCTGCCAAGATGAAGCAGGCATTTTGACTTTTGAGTCGCGGTGCTTCCGTGGCATTGGCCTTGCTCTTCTCCAGCTTGGCAGTATGGGCCTGCGCTCGGACGACAGGTTTCGAAAAATGCACAGGCCAAGCTGCTGAGCAGACTCTGATGCGACGGAGTTTATCAATATCATTCAACTTGGAAGAGGAGCATTTCTGGCTTCTGGGTACAAAACAAGCCGTCACGTCGGTTTAGGGCCTTTTTTTGCCTCCCGCCTAGCTAGAACGAGCCGCGCATTGCAGGGTTAAGTCAAGTTTAGGGCCTATAGGGCTGAAGTTGAAGGTTTCGACTCACACGCTCGCAAAAGCAGGCATGGCGTACGACGTCCGGGGTTGAAGGTTTAGGCTTTAGTGTGTGTGTGTGTGTGTGTCGCTGGACTCTCGCCCGCACAGCAACGGGAGGCCGAATTGCGGCGGTAGCTCAACAGTACTGGTCGCCAGCCGCCGCCGCAGCAGCAGCCGCACTCCGCTACAGTACAAGTCATCGACTCCTACAGTATTGCTCCTCCACATCACCGTCACCATCATCGTTACCATGCCCGCTCTAATTTCCTGTTCATTTTCCGCAGCTGTCACAGGGATCTCTGAAGCCCGTGGAAGGCCAAACCACGGCGAACGTAGACCGGAGGCAAAGCCTGAGGTAAAGCTGAACCTGAGGGCTTCAAACCCCAAAGATGGCTTTTCGGCTTTTCGACCGAGGCCTCGTGGCCGGCAATCTCCTCCGAGAGTCGCGAGGCCTGGACCATGTCTCTCGCACTGCATGAATCGTATGCAGGTGCACTCAAGACCAACAGGTGGTGTGATAGCCGTAGCATGCACATCGAGTAGTTCATGTGTAATTGCGAAATCGTGCTCGAAGCCACATGATGCATCCCAGGCCTAAAGTCCTAGGATTGATCGACAGGGTCTACAGCTGTTTTGATTCTGCACCTCTGCGTCTAAGCTGTCAATGTCCGCTCTGGTCAACTCGATCTTGCTGGAAAGCTCCTGCGCGAAAGGTCGTTCACACTGTTCCCGCATTTTCTTCCACATATTGGCCGGACAGATATCTGCCGCTCAGCTGTTGACACGTGTGTTGCGCGGCAGTTGTGCTTCCTTGAGATCGGCTCTTTTGTAGCCCAGCTCGCTGGTGCAGAACCTCAATGCGATGTCGGCAGCCGCCAGAACTCTTGCTGAGTGAACGATAAAACGACGAGCCATTGGGAAGAAAGCAGGCAAAGCTATCAAGGATGATGAGGCGCCGACTGCTCGAACTTTGCGAACTGTAGTTTCTCGTCCTGCATTTCCTGTTGCTCGTGATCTCGGAACACCCTCATTGGAAAGGAAATACCGTGTTATGAATTGTGAAAAGAAATCGAGCCTTGGACTTGGTGGTTTTCATACCTTGAGAGCACAGAAACTGCACCAGAGCGTGGAGGGCGCCGGGCTTGCATCCGCGATTAAGCCCAAAGACTCTCCAGGGCCGTGAGGACCTGCTGCACGACAAACAAGAGGAATAAGGTACAGCTGTCTTGGTTGATGCTACTGGTACAGTAATGTTGGACGAGCAGTCAGACATGCGCCCACGTCTGTGCAGATGTCGCTGTTGAGCCTTGCCTTCTGGACGGGTGTGGCCGCGCCATTAGCAGTGACGACAAGGACCAACGCCAAAGCCTCTGCCCAACCGAAGTCAATTCGAGCCATTCCAACAGGCTCGCTAAGCTTCGCACTCGCACCCACTGCATTCTGCACGGCATCGCTCCGATGCCCGCAACTCTACGTTGAAGCCGAAACGGCTGGAAGAGGCACGGAGTCGTGGTTATCAGGTACGACATAAGAACATTCAATGTAGAAGAGACGCACATGGGACATGTCCCCCTCCGCTGAAGCCATGTTGCCGCTTCCTGCTGGAGCCATCTCGGGCCTCTTCGGCTGCCGATGACATGGCCAAACCCGTCCAGGCTGTGATTTGCTCCTGTCTGCCGCACTAACTTGAAACGAAAATTGCACAGCTGCAGATTGCTCCTGCTGCCGCTCTGAGAAGTAGTGCGAAGCTGAATCCAAAGCTTCTGCGAAGTCGGTGGCGACGTCCTTCCGAAAAGTGGCTGACAAGGGTTTCTGCCCCACGGGACATTTTGGACGTTCTCAAGCCCGCCTGTGTGGCTTCGGCGAGCGTGTCCCGAAACTTTTTCGTGCCCATGGCCATGTAAATCTGCGAGCCTCATGCCGCAAAATGTGAGCACCAGCAGAATCATGAAAGAGGCAAGAACTCGTGAGGCTTCGTACAGTGAACACGAACTCTTCGTTTTATTTCCGTGCCTGCTGCAGGAGGTCAGCTCTGACATTGAGGTATACACGATAGGAGAAGCCTGCAACTTGTAATACCCGTGTACAAGACGATGTAAAGCTCTGACGGAACTGCATTACACAAAGGGCACAAAAGCTGAGGCGCACCCTCAGGACAAAGAGAGTATGCTTCAAGCTTCAACATCGAATGCTAGAAGGAACAGTCAAGGGCAGAACTACAGCCGCAGATGCAAAAACAAACACAAACAAAAACAACCACACACACACACAACCAGGAAGTAAAGACACAACTCGTGGGCACAGGAGTGGAGCCGTTTCGAGTTCACCGTTGCTGTGCAACTGTCGCATTCAACCTGCAATCGACTGAGGAAAACCCAAACCCCAGCAACAGAAACTGTCTTGCCGAATCCGTCTTCGCTTTGGCTGAGACTCTGCTCTCTGGGGCACCGGCTCGTTTTTTCAAGCTTGCTCCTCCAATCTTTGCAGGATGGAACGGCAACTGCTCCAAAGGGCTCCGGTTTTGGATTGGCCACAAAACACAGACGGCAAGCATGCATGCGCAGGTCGCCCTGCCTGTGCACCTGGCCGAGCTTGCGCAGCGCTTTGCTGACCGTCTCCACGCTGATCCCGCCCGCCTCTTCCGAACGTGCAAGACTGCTGGTGAAAACGTCATTGTGAGACAAAGGTCGAGTTGAGATTCTGGCAAGGCAGCGTTGCAAAGCCCCCCCTTCCTTCCTTTAGGTGGGCTCACACCTGGAAAGACCCTCTGCGGCGCCTGCGCTGTCTTCCCCGGAGCGGGAGGCCGGCCGGCAGCTTTTCCAGCGCGAGCTGGCGAACCGGGACAGTTTGAAACGAACCCGACCATGCACAGCTGGTGTCATACAGCGATTTTCCACCGGTTATGACTGGCTACAGCCTGGTCCACGGGGCTCATTCAGCACGGAGAGATCGAAAAGACCCGTGCCTCAGCACAGAAGTGCTCTATACATTTCATTCGAAGCTTTCCCACTAGTGTTTCAGGATCGTTGCAGTTTCTGGGTCTTTGCCCAAAGTATCAGGTTAGACACACACACACACACCGCAGGAGTTTGCAATCCGGGCGAGTCGAAACCGCCAGTGGCTCAGCCTAGCTTCGGCATCCATGCCTCGCAGTCTTGGAGTCTCGTGTTGAGATTCGAAGCCCGATGCAAAGGGTCCCACTGAGTTGGGTTTTTTCCAGGCATTGGGGAATGGCGATATGCCATCTACCGGAGGATGGCACCCGTTTGCTGTCAGTGCTGTGTGTGCTTTGTTGGACACGGTGCGGGCAAGCACAGGCCCGGCAAGCATAGGTCAGTGCCTTCACCAGACATGTGGAAACCGTTTCGGCGCCTCAATGACGAATGCTGAGGGACTGAGCCTGACCGGGTTCGAACAGTGTCCACCACCACCACCACCAGCAGCAGCAGCAGCAGCAGCAGTAGCACCACCACCAGCACCAGCAGCACCACCACCAGAGTAGATGACAGTAGATATGTGCTTAAGTTGATCTATCTGTTGCTGCATTCATTATGAACTGTTGCCGTGTACCGTCATCTCTATGATGCTGGCTATGTATTGGGCGTCTGACAGCTCTGGGGCATCTTAAGCTGCGTGGTGGCGGCACTCAACTTGTGAGAACTTGCATGTGTAGCTTGGCGACAGCACTGGACTCTGGCCCCGGCCATCACTCGAAGTTTCCACGCGCACTCCTTCACCGAAGGGCGCTGCCACCACCTCAAGTACATCCAAATGTCCTACTACCTCCAGCTCACACATACTGTGGCCACTTTGCCCAGGATGCAAGCGACATGAAAGCCGTGATTATGGTTGGCAGGCACCCCGACCATCTCCTCCTGGTACCGCACGCGCAGCTGCTTCAGAAACTCCTCTGACTCTATGAAGACAGCAAAGGCCCTATAGGTGGCGATGTTCGTGATTTCAGGTTGCAGACGCATAATTTGCAGATACCTCATCATCATTCATCTGTAGTCTGTGTTGTCAGCTTCTCTTTGCTCGTCTCGAAAGATTGCATGCCGAAGCACGAGAACAAACGCGGAAGCCGTCTAAAGGGTGCCAGCAAGCAATGGTTTTTCGCATTGGGCAGCCCGTCGGACAACAGCTCGAATCTGAGACGCCGCTAAAGATTCAACCCTCGAGCCATTTCATGCCAAGAACCTTGACTGCATGTTTGTATGGCCACCACCAGTACAGCTTGTGCTGTGTGGCCTGTGCCCTTTCCGTGTAATGTTGGGATACACCAAGCGGAAGGCGAATCTTCAGTTCGGGTCGAGCTGAGGTGCCCGAAGGTTGCTGGAAGCGCCGTAGACTGGGCACTTTGCGGTCAAAGCCGTTCGGACCATTCACTGCCTGAGCGGTGCTCTTGCATCGCTCCTGGAACAGAAGCTGCGCCTCGGTTTCATCCATGGCCTGGCAAATGACAGAGCTTCCGCACAGGAAAACGTGCAATTGCAAAGCAGGGCATCTCGCATCAAAGCCTCGCGCTGGGACGGCTGCGGCCCAGGAAACGTGGCATCTTGGAAACGGAGCAAAATTTGCAAAGTCCCAGCTCCCAAGCAGCTGCGTTCCCGGACGCTGGGGACACTGCGAAGCGACTGCTGGAGGACGACAAGCACCTTCCCAACCATCCAGCAAGCACCACAAAACGGATCAGGTTCTGGCTTGCTTCTATTCCGCCTCGTAGCCACAGTCCACGATGTTACTTGGCCTTGGCCTGCCGAGCTACTGGGTACTGTACTGACTTGGCGGTCCCCGGCGGGGAGGATGAGTCCAGCCCTTCCCTCAACTTCCGAAGGGTCCAAGAGAACACCTGCGCTTTCGTTAGTACATGTTTGTGCCAGTCGCGACGACATTTGACATGTATAAGCTTGACGTCGGCATTGCTGATGTTGTCAGTTGTGTTCATCCAGGGTCTGGCCTTCACATGCCTTGACATCGTGCATCTGCAACTTCTACCGCTATAGAAACACATACATACATACATACATACATACATACGTACATACATACGTACGTACATACGTACGTACGTACATACGTACGTACATACGTACATTACATTACATTAACTACATTACATTAATTACTAATGTAATAATTACATTACATTACATTACGTTACACTACATTACATTACATTACATTACATTACATTACATTACATTACATTACACACACGACATTCAATTACATTACGTTACATTACATTACATCTGTGGCTGCCCGCAGGTACTATTTTATGCTTGTGCTTGCCTGCCTTGCATATGTGTGTTCTCACATCTGTGGTCGAGTGGCCAAGCGGGTGTGCAGCGCCGCGCGTGCGCCGGGGTGCTTGCGCAAGATGAATGCTTGCCACATGGCGACAAAGTTGTCACCGAATTACAAACTTGAATTGAGGCTCGGACGGATCTGCATTGCTGTCACCATCGCTGCCTGGATTGTTGGGAGCAGAAGGTGTCTTCAGGGTCAGGCTTATTCTGATGGCCGAGCGGTGCTTGTATGCGTTGCTTGGGTAGAGAACCGGGGAACAAAGAAAGACTTCCAACAGTTCCACTCAAGCCAGGTCGCTCTAAGTTGATCTGCTGTTGCATGCTGCTTATGCGTACAAGGCTTGCTAAAAAGAACGTGTGCCCAAGTTCCAAAGCCACGGGTTGCCTTCAAAACTGTTCAGTGGCCCAGTGGCCGAAGCCCTAGCGAGCGTAGGCCGGAAGATCTCACTCAGGCAGGACATGGAATGACATGGACAAAACATGTGCAAGAAACCTGAGACTAAAATGAAGGCGCAGCTCTAGATGTGCTCACCGTCCACGACCATGTCTGTCTGTCTTGCATATTTCTGGTCAAGATGTTTGGAAACCGGCTGCTGCCCAAATAACTTCAACCAGTCTCAGCTGGACAGGTTCCAGAATTCAGCCTTGACTTAGCGTGCTTGCAGGTGCCGGATGAGAGTTGCAATTTTGAGTAACATGCCTCGCTAAAAACAGCTCCACTCATAGTGCTGATGTCCACTTGCCGACGCTGGAGGCAGGACACGCCCTTGTGGCTTATCACCACATGTCCCAACCGCTCTTCTGGTTGTAAATTCAGCGAACTTGCGAAACCACGGCCCCAAGCCATCCCAAGCCCAAACCCTTCGTTGACTCCCTGCCATACTGTACAGCTGTGACTAGGACTCAAGGCCCCTGCCTACAAGCGACACATCCGGCCACAGCTGCACCTTCGCGACCTGTGCAGTCGAGTCTGCAGACGACATGCGGCAGGTTTGCCAAAAACATGGAGGACTGCAAGCGTTCCTATTGCGAAGGGAGCTCTCCGACCTTCGCGGCCAGGGTCTTCAGCTCATCGCCAGTGTCTCCGTCCCTGACCGACTCGGAGACCATGATCAATCAAAACCTCCCTGGTGAGAGGTCGCATCCAACCCGTGAAGAATATGAAGATTGAGGGATTGATATCAAACGCAACTCGCGAGCCAACTGCAAAGGTCCCTCTGTGCCGCTTGCCCTGTTGTGCCTGAAACCAATGTATAGCACAAGTCCAACGCCAATCCGATTGACGACCAAGCCATTCACCTGCGCGTGCACTTGAGGAATCTTCTCTCGATGCTAGAAACCTGCCGTCACTTAGACTTGAGGTGTCCATCTCACACTCCCACCCCGCAGATTTGCCTGCACTGCAGCACTTCTCACTTTCTGCCTTAGCCCAGTGAGGATCTGAGGGTTGTGCGCACAGTTGCGCACAGAAGCGAGGCTTCGCTGCACTGAGCTGAGGACAAGAGGAGCTTCATGGCCGGAGCATCGTTTTGAAGGCACGGCCAACTGTGTCACAAAGGTCTGTCTCCGATTGTCTCCATGTGGTCTTACAGATCACTCCCCAGGACTCTCCAGGCACTGATTGTCGTGAGCTGCCGGTGTTGGATGCCTTGTTTGACTGTTTGACTGTGTGTGATAAGGGCCACGGATCTGTTTGCATGCTGCAATCGTGACTCTTTGCAACCTACAAATACAGGTTCGCTGATGCGAATGGCAAGTCACGCTGCTGCTGGGTTACTTTGATGTCGAAAACAGCTATGTGCATGGACTCGGAAAAGGTAACAACGAAAATCGACTGCAAAACATGAAATCCTAACTGNNCCCCCCCCCCCCCCCCCCCACAGCCAACTAGGCTTCATTTTGCATGCACTGGGCAAAGGATCCATACAGCACTCTGGCCCAGAGTACAGCTCCAGCGAAGTGCAAATCCTGCATGCTGCACGTCCTGATCCGACACGAGCTCCGGGCAAATCAAAGCAATGACTGCCTCGGGAAACTCACGCATCAAGTTGCGGATGATCTGCAGCGAAGTGTCAGAACCAGAGCCGATGCGCCAACCCCATGGTGGGTTAGCAACCACGACATCGGGTTGTTCAACTAAGTCTGCAAAGCTGGTCGTCGCATCATGAATCAACACTTGGATCTCTGTTCCAAAGCTGCACAGCCTGAAGTTCTCCTGTGCACGCTCGGCAAAGGCAGAGTTTATGTCGCTGGCCATGACAGTGGCAAACCTGCCCGAGGCTGCGGCAACAGCTGCAAGGGTACCACTTCCACAGCAGGCATCCAACAGGGACCGTGACGCCCTGGATCCCTTGCCCTTCTCGCACTCCAGCAAAGCGATGGAGATGACTGTGCTGGCCACCCAAGAATCAAGCCCCGCGGAAAACTTGAAGTTCCGACTAGACCACATCTGATGCCACGATGCTGGCAGGCAGGGGCCGTTCGCGATTGCAACCTCCTGGCCGACCAAATACGAAGTGCTACCTGCCTGGAAAGCCACCAAGTGGACATGCCCTGGCCCCGAAGATTGTCGTTGAAGCTTCCTGGCTAGGTCAGGCCCAGCGAGAGCAACTACGTCCAATGCCATGTCTGCTCCGTGGCAGGGTTTCAAGGGCAGCAGCGAGGCATCGACTGGAGGCTCACGGAGCAGGACCTCCAACCACCAAGTACTACATCCTTGCAAGGCCAAAAACTCGGCAACAGCTGCGGCAAGCTCCGGGGAGGTTTCGAACGCTGCATGCTTGGACAGCCTCACCGGCGGCCTTCGAAGCGCGGTTAGGCTGCCGGCAGCACTCAAGAAGGACTGCTCCAAAGATCCTTCTCTTGTTGCAAGCACCACCAACCCGGGTGCTACTTCCCTCCAGCATGATGGCTGAATTCCAGCATGCAGCGCCGCAACCTCGAATCCCAAAGCCATGAGCGCCGCTTCCTTGCTTCGGGAGCCCTGCGCTCGGAGGAAGAGGACCCAAATCTCTGCGGCGCGGAAGAGCTTTAAGGTCTCAGTCAGCTCGTTTGTTGACCTTGGCATCTCTGCCATAGCACGCCTCCATGTGCGCCGCCCTTCACCAACCGACGTTGCAGGTGGCGGTCGTGACGTCAGGGGAGAAGCCTGGCAATCTTCTGCTCGTGGTGCGAAAGACTCTTTCGCAAACGCTTCCGACGTCCGTCGTACCAGGCCCTGCATGAGCCGGGCAGCTGGCTCCTCAGTCTCTGCGGGCTCATAGATGAAGTCCGCGCCTTGAAGTAGGAAAGCGACTAGGCGATTTGCCATGCACTGCTTTCTTACAGCCTTGGCCGTCTGTGAAGTGGCTGTGGCTGCAGATGTCTCTACCAAGATCGCCCCGAGCTCAGGCACGATGGCAACGGCAGCCTGTTCGTACTGCGGGAAGAAGCCTCTGTGCAGGGCTGCTTCCGTTTAGCACGCTTGCTGTGCCTTTCCAGTTGGAATTAGTTTGCGAACTTTGTCATCGCAGGCCCCACGTGCATAAACAGGATATGTTATGATAACACCAAAGCAAAACATCACTACACAATGCAAGGCCGCGAATATGCCGGAGCAGCTCCTTTTCCAGGGCGATGGTCAACCACGCTACAGGCACGGCACCACCTTGAGAACCACTGGGGTGTCGCTCGAAGCGAGAGACCAAGGCAGAACGCAAGAAGTTGGACTCTTCCGGGAATTCTTGTTGGCTGTCCGCTGCATCATATCCTCCCAGTGGGACGAAGGAGCCAGTTTCTGCTTCTGATCGTTGCAATCGTATCACTGGCTCGCCAGAGCTGGCTGCCTGCTCGTCCAAAGATTCCAAATTCTCCAGGGACAAGCCGTACGGCTGTGCAGCAGAACAAAGCCGAAGAAGGCTAGCATCCGGCACCTTGCTCTTCCAGTCCTTCCAGATCTGCGAATGGCGCCTTCGAAGCTCATCACCGGCGATGGATACAGGCAGCTCCCCTCCATGAAGCAGAAGCACTTGGCACAAAGCCTGCAAAACTCGTTTCCCTAGTTCAGGGCGGCCTCCAGTTCGTGCACCTTCCTCGGAGCTCACTAGCAAAGAACTGTGGTCCATGGCAGCGGGAAGTATTTTTCCAACAGGCTTGCATCTTGCGACGCTGAGCTCTGAGCCATCTCATTCGGCAGGGCAATCGGCATCTGTGGTAGAAGTATCAGCCATCTGCCAGCAACGCCAGCCGTAACTTATCAATCTAGAGCGCAGCGAAACCATCCTGTTAAAGTTTCGCCACACTGTACTGAGAGGACGCGTACTTCTTGGCACAATGCCAGGCGCTTGCAGCCCGAAGTTCCTCACTGACCCCATATTCCGGGCATTCCCCAAAACCGCGTGAGCAAAGTAAACAGCTCCTTTTGCACCGAGGCTAGTTCACTCCAACCTTTCGGCGGCTCCGCTGCCATCCAGCTCCTCGTAAATTTGCATTTTGTGTTATTCTAGAGCACTGCCAGGAAATACAGAACACTTCTCCACTCCAGAAAAAGGGGCTCTCTCGTTTAGGCATTGTGCCTGAAGGCTGCCTCTGAGCGTAGTGGGCGAACCTGCCCCAAAGCTCCGCGGAGGTCGCAGGGCAAAGGCTCCCTGACCTCCACGCGGTATAGACAGAAGAGACAAACTTCGAGTTGATGAAAGGGCCGAAGGTGGGTTTGGATGCCACATGTGCTCCACTACAAGCTGGCTCAGACTTGACAAACTCTCCTTCAAACATGGTCATCTTCGCTGCTACCCTTGATTTATTCCAGCTAGCCCTGGCCGTAGTCGTCGTAGCATGCATCAGAGTCGCAGCAGCAGTAGCAGCAGTGGTCGTCGCAATCGTCGCGGAAGCAGACGTACTAGCAGAAGTGGAAAGACTGGTGCCATCGTCGTTGTCGCAGCAGTATTAGGAGTATCAGATACCGTTTGCATCCCGTCTGGCCTCGCCTCTGCAGGCCGAGCGTCACGGTCCAAGAAAGTCAAGCGATAGCGATGAAGGAAGTTTCGCGGGCACCAGGCCAGGTCCTAAACCATGGCAAAGTGCGGGGTTCTGAAGGTTCGACATCCCTTGCAAGGATCTCCGCCCAGGTCCTGCAAGCAGTTCGGGAGGGAGAAGTATCCTGAGAGGTACACGAAACTTGAAACATGTGAGGCTCATCTTCAGAGCCTGCTACGAGGCAACGTGCGCCTCTGTATGCTTCAAACTTGCTGCGATAAATGCTGCTGACTTTGCCCTCCCATCGAGCCCCAACACGGTGGAAACGGGCAAAAGGCAAGGTGCATGTCATGGCAGAGCTTTGAATGCTGCTTCTTTGGCTAAGTTGCTCTTGTCGGAGACGGTGGGGTGGCCGACATGAGACATCTGCAGTCGGATCTGGTGCTGCCGGCCGGTGAGAATGTGAATGGCGAGCCTCACCGAAGTCGGGCATTGCTTGCAATTCATAAGGGCAGTTCCAGCTGTCGGGCAGTATCACGGTTCGTTATGATGCCAAGCTGGATTTATCGATAGAAGTAAGCTTCCACCCGCCGCCTGATATGCTAGGTGAGACCTTCTCTTGCTGCTGCTGTTGCTGCTGGCAATGCCGCGGCCATCGTCGTCGCTGCACTACGGTCTCAAACCTTTGAGTATGCTTACGCGCATTCCATGCTCATCTGCTTAACTCTTCTCCACAGTCGAATCAAGACGAGGACTTCCACTGCTTTAGCCACGTCTGATTTTTTTCCCAACGTCTGATTAGGCAGGGGGCTTAAGTGTTAGCAGTCAGAGGCACCAAAAGAGCCAGGCGGCAGGCTCAACACCAGCTCGGTGAAATGCCCCACGCCCAGGACCTGCCGAGTCTTGCGTTCCAATCCATGCCCCCAGTGGTCGATGACAAGGCTCTTGCCATCCAGGCGTAATGGCTCAGGCGTTGCAGGATGTGCGCTCGGAGGCGGTTGAAATGACCCACGAAAACAAGACAGCGAGAGTGTTGGCCAAAAGCTGTGCCTGATGGCATGGTGAGTTTCTGGCTTCCCCATCTCCAGCCGATGCACGAAGAATCGCTGTTCGACTTAGGCCTTGAGTTTTGAGCTAGCTGGGCGTCCAGCAGCTGCGACGATGCTGGCGGCCTCCCGGGCCGGCAACGGAAGCACTAATTTCGAGCGGCTTGCGGAGGTGCCTGTCTTCCATTTCCGAACCAGTGGACCTGGGGGGTGGGCGAATCACTTGACGGCACCGTACTGTATGATTGATGGCATGTTTGCTTTGATCGGCAGAACACTACTCGTATCCAGTAACTGGATACTCGGATACATTTTGCGTTCCTTCGCGTCCCATCCTCTGCTCCAGGCTTTCAAGCGAAGACACGCGGCAGCGAATGGCGCTTCGCGCAAACGGCGCGAAGCCATGGCTCAGAACACCTTGCAAACAGGGGATGTTCGCCCTAGCAACTCCAGGTGCTCCGACTTGCCGGCTAAGGGGCAATACTCTCTCATCATCTGACCGAGTGACAACTGCAGCCTCAAATCCTTAGAGTCTTAGAGTATCTGGGAAGAATGCATGCGGGCATCAATTGCTGATGTCACCTTGCTGAATCGGCAAGCAGCATAGAAGGCACGGTGTGTCTTGGCTGTGAGAATCAAGCCCGATGTAGGGATGTCCAAACCTGCCAAACATTAAGCAGCCTCATTCCCTCAAGGCTCTTGCCAGCAACTGCTTGTGGAGCCAACAGCACTTAGTACTTCCGAGGAACGATGCAAGAAGCCACGGCTGTGACTTCGATCCTGTGGCGGACTCTTCATGCGTGACGCAGCCCATTTCCACACTCAGAAGTGCAGGCCGTCGCCTTCAGAATCGGCCAGCAGCGAGGTGGGTAAAGGGCCTGTGCGCCAAATTTTTACCGTGCCAAAGCTTGCACAGAAATGCATGCGGAAGCGTCGTTTGCTATGCTTGCCCCGTCATTTTGCGTGTGCAGGAACCAGGGCAGAAGCGCTGAGCCACTTTGGAGCGCCGCCGTAAGAGGAGCAAGGCACTGGTCGGATGTTCACCAGATAATTTGGATGAGACTGGAACAAGGGCAGTCTGGAGGCACATAAACATATAGACCATTCCTTGCTTCCTGCATCTGACATTGATAGGGATCCACTTCGGGCACTTAGTTGTCGCTTTCGGTTTTTGGACTCAGAATGGAACTAGATGGATCTTGGCTCGTGTGTGTGTGTGTGTCTAAACTGCAAAGATGCTGATCAACTTTGCCCTCGCCTGGGTGAAGTGCGACAGCCTCAGGGACGCGTCCTGATCTGCACTGCTTCGTTTCTTAGACGCTATAACAACAATAACAGTACTAGTAAGAATCACCATAATCATAGAATAATGCTGACGGTATGTAACGGTAATGCCACCGCCGCCGCCACCACGACGACGACGGCCACTACTAATTACAGCACCACAAATATTCTCAACAAGAGCACAAATTATGACTGTAATGATAATTAACCGCACCAACACAAATAGTAGCAAACTATGCCGATGCCCTCTGCTCGCGTTCGGCCCAAGTGAACTGTAGCCCCCGTGCATAATACAATATCATACAATGGGGCAGTCGCTCTACCCGCGAGGGCTCTCCTGGGGCTCGTCCTTCCCATCGTCGACCTGCCAAGTTCCAAACTACAGCCTCTCTGCAAAAAGGATCCGCGCTTGCCTGCCAAAGTGATGGTGGCTTGTAGATGACGCACCGGTCGCCCAACTCCTGTGCAGGCCAAGAACCCCTGCATCTCCCGTGACTTAGTTGGAGGCATTCCGAAGTGTGCTCGTGTGATTTGACTCAAGCTGGTGTTCTTATGGCAGCCTTCTGTAAATGGCATCTCCGCCATTCTCCGCCTAGTAGAAACAGCAAAAGAATGACCGAAAATGCACAAACTGGTGTGCAACCCCCTTCTTGGTTTGTTGCACCGGTCCACAGGAGGTTTGAGAAAGCCGAAGTCTTTTCAGCTCTGAGCACCGGGCGAGAACCGCATGAGGAAATCCAGGACCAATCGGATCTCCTCTTACACTGAATAGTTTGGATGCGGTGGAAAATTCTTTAGCCGAATAAGGGCAGGGTATGGCACACGTCTCATCGCAAGAAGGACCCTCGCTGAGCTTCCCTTCTTGCGTGCCTTGTCTTGCCTGCTGCGTGGAAACGAGTGAGACACTCGGAGAGAATCGGCTCCCGATGTCTTGCAGCAGCGTCCTGCATCGGACCGGTGATGAGGGCGGGAGCTTCTCTTTTCTGTCTGCTGTTGCTGCATGCGTGCCTCGCTGCACGTACTGTCCGTTTCCCCAGCTGGTCCGAAAATTGGCATGCCCACACCGTATCCTTGGATTTCGCAAGTGAAGAAGCTTTAACGCCAAAGACAAGGAAGAACTAGCAACGGCCACGCGGATTCTGAAACAAACGCCGCGCATCGAGCACACGGGCTGCAAGATCCTGCGATCTTCTGACTTGTGAAGGCTTTGCAAACGACTGGTGGCCCCAGGATGCCAGAAAGCCAAGACGAGACTGGTCTATCGGCAGTCTTAAAATTCACTTCAGCCAAACAGCACCGCATACTCGCAGCCAAGCAATGCGGGTGTCGACACCCCAACTTGTGACTGCGAAAGTCGCCAAATCCAACTGGAACCCTCATGGCCGCTGGCCTGAAGCACGGCAGGCGCTGCTGGCAGCTGGGAGCTTGCGGCTTGTGAGATCAACTCATCTTGCCTCAGACTTTAAGCATGCATCCTCTCAAGGTGTCTTGGTCGGGCGATGCTGTCAGACTGTGCGGCCTGATCCCCCAAACACAAGAGCAGGACCATGCCGTGCTACTTTGCCTCCTCCAAGGTCCAAGGAGCACAGCTTGGAATAAGCGGACGGCTTGCAGGCTGCTGGCACAATTCTCGAAGCAGCTGCCGGCCTGAGATGTCGGTAACATATTCATGTGTCGCTCGCCTTCCACACAAGTTCGCACGGGCTTTCGGTTGGGCGTCGGGTGAGGCAAAGCACAAAGAGGAGGTGCTACCGTGTCTTCCAGCACTCGCTCCTTTGCTGGTTTAGTCTTGACCAAACTGAAGTCTAGGACTTTCAGTTTAGACGATCCACAGGACTCTTTTCGGTTTCACCAACGCGGCTGCTCGGCTGCTCCAGCCCAACTTTGCAGGCTCTGCACAGAAATCGGGGAAGTGAGCGGTCTACGTTCAAGGGCATTGTCGCCACGATTGGCGATCATGCATGTCCAGCATCAAACAGATGTGGAGAGGAATGGCTTTCATCGGTCACAACGCCTTCTGAGCTGCACATCCCTGATGGTCTGGCAGAGCTCCTTCGGAACCTGACGAACGTATCAAACTCCGCGAGTGTGCCCATTAGCCGCAAGTCTAACACTGAAGCGGCCTTGCGTCCGAAGGCGAAGCTGTAGTAGCCATAGGCGCCGTGCATGCAGCCGCTTTCCAAGCCACGTTTGGCAGCCTCGGGCAGCAAATTCGTTCTAGTGTTGCTGGAATTCTGCTTCTGCAAGCTTAAAAGCGTCATGCATTCCTTGATTGACCGATCAAGCCGAAATGAAGGAGAGTGGGCAGCAGGGATAGGTGAAGCTCTTGCCTTGCAGACCTTCTCCACCAAGCGGAGGTTGTCTAAGTTCCTGAGGCACTCTTGGAAGCTGGTTCCAGAAGGTCGGCTCCACATATTTCTCCGAGGCTCTCTTTGAACGTCTGCATACCCACCCCATTCGTGCAACCAATCAGACAGCCTCGAGAACGGCCGGCACAGCCTGCTCCAAAGTGCAACAAGGCGAGATGGCGACATGTGGTGCCATGTTCTGTGCTGTCTCGCTCAGTGCCTGCCTTTCTCGCACCAGCGCAGTGCTTCAACGTAGCTTCGTGGTCGGTGCAAGAGGAAGGCAGTCGGCGAATACATGTAGCCTCAACGAGGGCACAAGACTTTTGCATGTCATCTTTTTCCAACAAGCTCGCAACTTTGTGCCATTTCTGCTGAGCTTCAGTCACCCTTCCCCTGTCCGTTTCCAGCATTTGTATCAGTGCAGACTGAGAGCGCACCTGGCCAGGAGAAGTGAATTGGAGATTTGGGATCCTTATTATCATCAGCAGCTGGGAAAACAAGAGTTCGAGGTTAGCCGAATACATTAATTGTCGTTCGGCACGGACCCATGTTCGACTTTGCACAATCAGAGTTCAGATGCATATATTCAAAGAGTGGGGCCAATAGCTCTTCGTACTGTCTGGTCATGATCCGTGAATCACCGTGAATCCTTACGGCACTGTCGGGAATGATGACGAATGGCCTTGTGCATCGTCCGCATCGTGGCCAGACACGGTTGTCGAGGCGAAGTGGTCCATCCAAATGCCATTCCAGAGCCTGGGATGATGGCCAAAACTCAAGCGCCTCAACGAATCTAACGAAAAGTAGTCATGCTCGTGTCACGTAGCATGTTTCTTTAAGGTCGTTCTTTACAAACGAACAGAAGTTTGACGATACCCTGAAAGGTCCGTCCCATTCAACTCTTAAACCGAAGATCTCGGCTTCCAGGCTTCCAGAAGCTGAGAAAGCCGGGGTTGAATACTTTTCTCAATCAGGTGACGTTGTATGCTGCCCCCGGACGACAGTGGAGGCTTGAAGGGACTGCTTCAGTCCCTGGCGAGTGCTGACGTCGCCTGCCGGCAGCCACAGCTTCAAGAAATGGCGTGACTAGCACGAAGACATGCTGTCGAGCACAACGTCACAAAGTCCTACGAGTATCGTCTTGTCTTAGGCGAGCGGCGGAAATACTGGACCACACCATGACCAACCCCGTGGTAGCACCTCGCAGTAAAGCGCTGCTCTGCTCTGTTTCCAAAAGGAAACACTCACCGGAACTTTGGGAACTTTGCTCTGCTGCCAGGGCGCTCCCAGGGAGGCCGGAAATCGCGTCCCATGCGCTGACACACCTCGCCAACGCGAACTGCACAGCACGACCAGCTCGAACTCTCGTCCTTCTACTTTTGATCAGCTGGCCTACTCTGCTCTGATTGCATGCCGAAGCTCATGCGATGCCACAAATCGTGTAGCTGCTTCGAAGTGTCCAGCCGAACCTGCTCAAAACTGCGTGCTCGGCCATCGCCTTTGTTCTGCGATTGCGACATAGGCCTTTATGTGTTTCTTCCCGAACCTGCTTTGGAAAGGAAGAGCTCAATCGCACCATGTAGGTATGCAGCATTGCATACCATGAGGAGCTGCACGTCCTGCCTGACAAGACTGAGTCTGGTCCAGGTCTTAGGGGTCTTAGTAGACATTGCCTCGACGCAGCGGCACCAGGTTTCGCTGAGTCCGGCCAGCTTGTCGATCCTCGGCCACTCAAGTCTATGGACGATTCCTTCGAGAATGCCAAGAATTCAAGATTTCTTCATAATGATGATTGCTCTCTCTGAATTCCGAGCACACGAATCCTAGCCGAACCCTGGAACTCAGCCGTGACCGAAGAACAGTACCCGGAGCTAGAGAAGCTCTCGGCAGGAAACGAAATCCAAATCCATATTGGGAACCCAGCAGATCCATGAATCGACCTGTGCACCACCGAACCAAGCAATGGAAGCACACTGAAACCGTTTCCCATACTGATTGCAAGGTACCACTTGACACAAGGGCGGCGGCTTCCCGGCGTGCATTCTCGTCAAAGCTGAGAAGAGACCCCAGTACGTTGACGAGGCCGTCCTCTATTGCCAATTGCGAGGCGCTTACGGGTGACGTGAGGGACGAGATTTGCATGGCGGCCCTAGTATCTCAGTGCTTCTTTGGAGAAGGGGTCGTGGGGTTCCCATGTAGATGCTAACCACCAAACGAATCCCCTTAACTGGGTCTAGGTAGTGTGCAAGCTCGTGGAGTTAATGCCCCAACGAGCTGCGCTTGGCCGGAGCAAGGCTCCCGGGCTCGGTTCGGTCAGTCGAAGCTGTCAGGTGCCGTCCAGTCCTTTTTGGCTTCTCCTAGGTCCTGGGCCTAAGACATGTAACAATGCAAGGGTTGAGGCACAAAGCCCTGTCCTTGCCCGCTTCGAAATACAGTGTTCTGCCAAGTCTGTGTAGCAGGGGATGGCAGGCATCCAAAAAATGACGATTCTGCTTCAGCAGCTCCTCTGCCTTCATCAATGCCTGTCTGGTGCCAGAACTACGCACGAGTTGCAGGAGATCTTCGAGGATGGTCGTGCCCTCCTCTGTGTACACGAACCCATAAGATGCAGGAGCATCACTGCTGTTTGTGTCGCTGCCATTTGCCAGCATTGAGCTTTGCAATGCTTGGCAAGGCTTACACGGTTTACACTCTGCCACAGAAGGTGGCCTTTGCATGAATATCCACATGGTGGCCATGCCGCCCAAATACGCGGCCAAAATGGAAACACACAGATAACTATGGGATCGCAGAATATATCGTGATTCCAGGGCTGACCCGTGGTCGGTCAGCAGACCTCTGTCCTCACCCACGGGATCACCCAGGGTTTTGTTTCCCACTACGACGGCATTGAGGTCACGGTCATCACCGCCTGCTTCGCTGGAATGACCGTTCGAGATCTCATGAGCAATAGCTGCCATTGCAACGAAAAAGTACTAAAGTGTGTCCTCTTCGGCAACTGACTTTCTAATCGCTAGTCGCCTGAGGCTTCGAACATAAACCTATCAGGTTTCATTGCACGGTTAGCTGGTTAGCTGTTTGCTTTGCTCGGCTTCTGGTTTCGACTTCCACAGCAAGAGGACCATACCACAGATTGACTACCGACGTGCATGCAACTGCCAAAGCTTGGCGGCATTTCGGCCCAGTGGCTGCGGATTTCTGGATCAACAAAGCAACAGAAAATCCATCCAACATGTGCGTCTCAGGGTTTTCTGCCAGCTGAGGACTTGTTCAATTGAGTCGCATGGGTTGCCATGGATGCAGACAGCACCTCTGGGCCATGCCTCTTGTGGGATAAGTAGCCGTTGCACCCATATTGAATATGTGTCGAGCAGCAGATGACATCGCAAGGCTCGCGAGCTCTCGGAACGGCAGACCCCGCACGCGGTGGTTGTGAAGCAAATACTCGAAAGATTTGGCCAGCAGGCGCGGCTCCGCGCAAGTGATGGAGGCCTTAGAATAATGAGGCTCAAAGATGCCGTGTCTTCTCAAGCGAGGCCATCCGAGGCAGCACTTTGCATGCGCTGGTGAAGCCTCCACATTCAGCCATCTATGTAAGCGGAATAGAGCCAGAACCAAACCCACTAGCGAACTGAGCAACCAAAGTGCGTGGGACAAACTCTGATAAGCCATCGAACAAAACGTCTCACACAGTTGGTGACTTGGTTGGAGACCCGTCATCGGCAACCTATCAGTATTCTCCCAAACGTCAACCCGGCATGCAGAGTGTTTCTGTAGTTCATAGCTTTCCCAGCATGTAGCTGACAGCATTCAACGCTGACGATATGCTTATGACATCATGGCTTTCAGCAGTCTTCAGATGAGGTGCCAAAGACCACACCAAGCTCGCTAGCTCAGAGGCCTCAGGGTACCACCAAAGCAAGAGCAAGACGTCAGCAAAGCCTCTGCAACTTCGGACGCCTGGAACGTGTTCATGGCCTGCAGGGCCGACTCTGTTATCTCCTGAGTTGATGCAGACTTCCAACCTGACCGTGCAAGACAACAACTGCAGCTTGCCCCAAATTATGCCCTCTTTCAGCATCCTTGTGTTCACAGGTTGGGAATAGATTGGGTATTTCCACGGAAGCCCTCTTTGATGCCGTGGCACAAATGCCTCTTGCCGGATGCTCGAAGCCTGCGCTGCTGTCTCTGGCCTCTCGGGACATAACATGGCCAGGCATGTGCAAAAGCAACAATAACTTTAACAACCTACCAAACCCTATGAGAACATGTGTCGATGAAGAACTCCAGCATAAGCACCGCTGAGGCAGGCACCTCGCAGACTCCGGTGATTTGGCTAGTGCCCAGGCTCTTTGGCTCAGGTCCTGCGTAGAAGAGTGCGCATCTTGAGCTTTTGCCACCTCATGAACAATGAAAACCCGAGCCGGCTCCTTGTCATTGGCAGGACTGAGAAAGTTCAAAAGTTGTTCGCCAAATAATGGTACTGTTAGCAACAATGACCAGCAGTAGTGATAATGGTGGGGCGAAGCCCTCCAGCCAAGCACTGAGAAGTGTTGGAAGTCCTCATCCACGCAAGGTGTCGCACGCAGAAGTGCAAGTGCCACCCTGAGATGCATAGTGGATACGAGCATCGGACTGCATGTCGGGTCGAATGTATCCAGCGACTGAGGAGCTTGGCAATGCCGCATTTCATGTCAGAACCCCATGGGTGAATCGTTTGCAGCTCAGTTTCCAGGCTAATTTCCCCCACGGTCTTGCGTCTAAAGGTTGATAATTGGCTAAATGACTCGGGGTTTTCCAAGTTGTTCTAGCTCTCTCGTCGACATGAGAAGGAGCCCTTCGCCCAAAGGCCCCAAGGCGGCTGAAGCCATGATTTTCAAACCTGCGAGGTGCTGCCATTGTCGGGCCCGCTCCGCCGCTTGTCCGCCGGCTCCCAGGTGCAGAGCCCGTGTCCAGGCGCTGACAGTTGTACCTTGCGCAAGGAAGAATCCGTTGAACGTGAATTAGTAATACCACTAAGTCTGACGCATGGTGTTCGAATGCAACACAACGTGCCCCTGAACTTCAAAGGTAGTCTTGCACATTTCCGCAGACGTGTGCAAGCCAGGCTGCATGCGCTGACGGCGATACGATGCGCGACACGGTCTGGCCTACGAGCTCGGGGTCGATTCTGCTGACACGAGTGGCTTTGCATTGAGCCTTAATCCGAGGCCCTCGAGCATTGCCAGTGCTTGTGACCAGCAGCCAGCCTCACATCGGCACGTATCACAAACTGGAGAATGTGGCCCACGAGCTCTGTTGGCACGGCATGCCCACCCAAAGCATCATCTGCAGCCGTGACACGCGGCTGCAGGCAGTGGCGGCGGCATTTCGAGTTTCAATAGCAGGTCTGATGCACACCTGCATTGGGACTGTGACTAGTGGTGAAAACATGCGGGACGAACATAACAAACAGCCCGACCACTGGAATAGTTGTAGAACGAATGATTAACAGAAGCGATAATCGGAAACCAAGCCGCGATTGGTGCCGCACGCCTGCACTGGCACTGCAAGCTACCCTTCTCCAGCTGCTGAAGGCCATGTCTTTCAACCAGTGAAGCCAGTGCCCATCTTGCAGGTTCAGCACCCTCTGTCCAGTGCTATGCCAAGTGGCAAGTACTGAATGGCCTTGGACCAAACCAGGCCGGCATCACATGCGCTCAGCAGTGGTGTCAGGACCCTGGAGTTCAGGCTCACCTCAGCAAAAAAGCGAAGCATGGGAATCAGGAGTCCAAAAATTCGATCGACCCTGCAGTCTACGGATAAGACTGCACGGCACAACTTTATGACAGGTGCCTTGCTTGACGTCGCAAGCTTCAGTCAACTTGTTGCACGTGCCATTGCTGCTTGGTTCCCCGAGGCCTAGGAAATACACCGCAAGGCTGTTATGAAACTACTGGAAACAGGGCTTACTTGAGAAGCTCAAACCTAGCGTCAAACTACTGTCAGCTGGGTTGGGGGAATCAAATCCAGATTTAGCAGCATAGCAACGTAAAGCAGGCAAGACTAATGATTCAGGAGCTTGCGGGTTGATCAACGTGAACTACACATCTTAGGCGGATATAGTCCCCTCCCCACTTTTGCTTCTGCACAAGACAGGTCGCCTGCGCAGTGGCCATGCTCGTCGCGGTGTGCAAAGCAAGTGGCCAGGTTCCAGTGCTTGCGACTGCGCCAACCGCGGCACCGAATGCAACCACATCCTGAAGGCTGTCTGAGCTCGGCAGGATTCGGCGGTCTCTAGAGCGGTCTAGATTCTAGGTGGATCATTCGGAAGGCGCTCACCACCGCGGCCACCTAGACCTTCCTTGAGGGGGCCGGACATCCTTTCCCTTCCACAAAAGCCAACAAGTGGTAGAGAAAGAAGCATCGATGTTTGCTGCTCTACTACTCCAACAAACAAAAGACTTTCACCTCGGTGCATGCAGTCTTACCAACCTCCGTGCAGAATTGCATCTTAACTCGCTCACCACAGCTGTCCAGAGCCTAGAGCATCGACATTCGGACTTGGAGTGTCAAACATGGGTGTCAAGGCACGACCCCTCCGAGAAGCTGCTGAAGTGAAGTCAATGAATCCACCGCCACCTCTGCACTGCCAAGGGGTCACAAAGCGTCACAGCTTCAGGATCGTCTCTCCTTCACATATCGTGGAGACCGTGGAAGTGGACTCCACGTTGAGAAGAACATCGCTGATTGTGCTCCACTGGACCCCAACATGAGCCAGTCTGTCGTTCCCTCAACCATCAAGTCCCATCTTGTGGGTCTTTGTGTCTGCTCTGAACTTTCCCAGTCTCAGACTGCTCACCTTGAATGAAGAGCCCTGTTGCCAGGCGTGAAAGCTCGCGAGCGGATACTGATCTGTGCCTTCCTCTTGCCTGCAGCAAACCCAGCTCGCCTCCCAGCGTTGCTGGCCCGCCGTGCCGAGTGCACTGCTGAACACGACCGGATCCTTTGCATCTGTATGAAAATGGAAGGTGCTATGCATGCAGCAGCCTTGCATGTAATACGATTCCGACAAGGTGGTGCAGTTCAGATTACGCCTGCCACGCACGCATCACTTACGAGACTTACTTACTCAGCGCACAAATGGAGGGTCTTGCGAGCAGGGATGGCATTCTCCAGGATGCTGACAGGAGTGTCTACAAGATCTGGGCTGCGATCGAGTCGCATACTGTGCTTTGGCTTGAGCCATGTCCTTAGCACAAGCACTGAGGGCTGGAGGAATGATGTGAGATATGCAGACAAACAAACGAACTCAGGACCACTGGACATAATGGACTATTTCTCCTCCTGCATGTTTCTTGAGCACCACCTCTTCCTGAAGCAACGTGTGAGTTAATCCAACTGCCAGGATGCTCGCACATGCTCGAATGCCAACTCCCAAAGACCACCTCCTGCGTTTTTCCAGCGGTTCTTCCAGCGTAAGTGCAGTCGCAGCAACTTTGGACAAGCAAATACCTGTTGAGATTCGCGTTTAAAGTCCTCGGCAAGGATTGATGGCAGCCGAGAAGGATCTCTCGTCCTGAAATGAAGCTGGAATCTAGTACAGTACAGCTGAAACTGAGAGGCTGAACCGAACCAACAGCTAAACAGTGCAAGCATCGGGCTTGATGCCGCATGCCTGCATTGCCTCCAGAACAAAGCAGCTCTGCCTCCAGCCACAAGCCTCAGCATTCTGACAGAGCCACATGACAACACGCCTGTCCGCTGGCACCGACGAAGATGCTTGGAGATGGGCCTTGAGCACCACATTGTAGTGGATCTCATTGACTTGCAGCTGAAGCTTGGCCAAAGCCTTTGCAAATGGGACAGACCAAGTTCGTGGCTGTCCCCCCTTTTTGCCCCCTTTGGCAGCTCTGTGCCTGCAGTGCTTCAAGGGCCTCAGGCCAGTGTCGTAGCGCAACGAGCCTCTGTTGCGCTCAAAAACCCTTCCGCACAAAGGCCAGACCCGTGCAAATGTCTGTGCAGCAGTGTGCAGTAGCTGCAGCACTGAGAAAACCTAAACAGCAATAGCGAGTGCTTTTTCCTGTCAGCGTGCCCGCAGATTTAGCACAGCCACAGCGATGTCGCCCGCTGCGGGGAAGATGCGGCCAGTCCTTGGATCCGTGATTGGGGCAAAAGTGGATCTGCTACTACTACCACTACTACTACTGCGCCTACTACTTCTAATACGACGACTGCTAGTACTCAGACTTCTTCTGCTACTGACTGCTACTGCTGCTGCGAGGAGTAGTAGTAGTCGTCGTCGTCGTAGTAGTAGGAGTAGGAGTAGGAGAAGGAGTAGTAGTTAGCAGTAATAGTAGATGATAGTAGTAGTAGTAGTAGTAGTAGCAGCAGTAGCAGCAGCAGGAGGAGCAGGAGTAGGAGTAGGAGTAGGAGTAGGAGTAGTAGTTAGCAGTAGTAGTAGTAGTAGTAGTAGCAGCAGTAGTAGCAGCAGGAGGAGCAGGAGTAGGAGTAGGAGTAGGAGTAGTAGGAGTAGGAGGAGGAGGAGGAGTAGTAGTAGTAGTAGCAGTAGTAGTAGTAACGGCAGCAGCAACAGCATCGATACCAACAGAAATAGGTTCGCTCACACACACATTGACATTATGACTATCGAATTAAGACGACGGTAAAAACAAATGACTTCTGAATCGACGGATATTGGCCAGGACACGCAGAGAATCTGTGCCAACTTTGGGCAGCTGCATGCAGCCTGTCGCGCTCCGAATTTCATTGCCACCTTCCCTCCCACCCCTGCTTGACACCAACATTTAGGCATGGTCGCGATCATGGCTTCAAATTCTCTCCAGATTTCAATCCATCCCCAGATCTAAACGGCAAATTTGAAGCCGAGAAGCTTCCTGCAGGCTTTGCGCACTCCGATGCCGAGAAGGCTGCAACATGTAGCTGCCGCGCGAGGAAGACATGACCAACGTAGCAGCCCCCCTAGGCAACTGACATCCCCAAGCCTGGAAATGTCCGTGGAGGTCGTTAGCGTGTCTGAGACCGTCTCGCTGTTAATCTTACAGGCAAGCTGGCGAGCCTAGAATGTAGAGGACACACTCTTGTCCAATTGTGCTCCCTGCAAATGGCGACGTCGTCGGCAGTGGTTGGAGTGCATCACGCTCACAGGTGGACCGTGCATATGCATGAATGGCTGCGGAGATTGAAGCATCAGCAAGAAGCTCAGAGCTTCAAAACCACCATGACAGCAAAGGAAGCTACACTTGGGTCGACGATGTGCATACTACAACCTATCCACTGAAAACTTATTTCACGTCCGAGTACTTGATCCCATGTGGAGCTTGAGTGGTCGAACCCGATGTTTGGGAAGCTTGGTCCCTTGGATCCCTGAGTTGGCTGATTTGGCTTTAGTAGGGTCGCTCCGAGGACTCGGCGCTGGTGTGCCACGCGCTTGTCTTCTTTCCCCGTTCAATGCTGCGCAAGAACCATCCAACTCTTCACGAACATCTTGACATGGGACGAGGATGGTGACAAGTTCACCTGTGACAGCACATGTCCGAGGGCTTCAAAAGCATCAGACTTGAGCAGATCTGTTGAGGAGGCATCTCGCGAAGAGCCTGATTCCCCCTCCGTGTACAACTCGGCGGCCAGGTGCACGGCTCCTCTGTCAAAAGTTGGGGTAAAGGGGGTGGCTGATGTGACTTGGCGAAATCAAATTCGCCGAACAGCGCGCTTTTGCTGCCATGGTGCGAGAGGTCCACGTGTCTTTACATGGCAACCACAGCTGTGCCACACGAAGTTCTTGTAGGAGACCAAAGGCAGCCTGACAACATCATGTCACTGCATGCAGTCTGACATGTTAACCGCCTGAACTGCTGGCAGCGCCTCCAGCGCATCTGCTGCAAGAAATCCGAGGCTTGCAGTGTCGTTGAAACTGAGGGCGGGCTGCCCCACCCCTCAGCTCCGAAACTTCGAACCAGCGAGGCAGACGCATCATTGCTGTCGCAGCTACCTCTTTGAAGCCGTTTCTGTCGGTGGAGCTGTCTAGTCGAGCCCTGCAAAGCAAAAGCGCCATTAATTTACAGAAGGCTAAAATCTAAACAGCCCCGAGATGCTCTCGCTGAATAGTCTTCGGCAGCATAGTTTCGGACCGTTTGGAAACACCAAACCTACCGCTTTGACGGCAAGGCTTTCTATGCATGCAGCTCGAGACTTCTTGAAGAATTTGTTGACGGCAGAACCTCGAAACGAGGACTGGGATTCCTTCGAAGAACCATGAATTTCGGCACATCGTAGAAGCTCTGCCTATCTGCAAAGCCAAGCATCGCATGTTCAGGGTCGTTACTCGCGCGAAGCCCATTTCCTCGCAAACCTCTGAGCTCAGACATCCACCATGTCGTTATTGTATACAATAAAGCTGTCGGCGAGTCCAGCATGGGACTTGCATGGCGAAAGGACGTGCTCAACCGTTTGGAACATGCTGTGTGCGGTCTGAGGTGCCTCACCACAAACTTCAAACGGGACAAAGTGGCAAGATGTTGCCAGCTCCGCACAAATATCTGCAGCCAGTGCCTGTCCGACAAGCATCATCCATCAACCCCTATCGATCAAAACACGCATTCTGCCGCACGCGAAGCACAGCAAGCAACCTGCTGGTAGACACTACAATTACAAGATACCAAATACCAGAAACTGGGAGAGCAATGCTTTCAGTTACGACTGGTCGTGTCGCCAAGAACTGCCCGACCTCCACGTCTGTGGTAGGCAATCCTCGTAAGCTGAGAAAGCGTTTCTCAATGCGAAGCTCTTGCTGATGCTTGCGCCCAGTCCGACCGGTGACCTATTTCATGTCTGTTCTTGAGCTGCTGAATCTGCCGTGTCAGGCCAGAGCGGCTTGTCTGCTAAAGCTCCTCACCCTCGTCTGCCCCGTGAAAGGAGATCCTGTGTGAAGCAGCGCGAGGCTGTCGGGTCGTCCGGAGGCCTTCCAGGCAATAGAAATCGAACCGAAGGGTCAGAGAGTTTATTTAAGGTAGCAGGTGGTTTTGCCGCTTGCCGGCAAAAACATCATCCAGTTTTGCTCACAACGATTGTGCTTCGAAAGAGCACTAACTTGCTCTGGTTGACATCTGGTACAGAGGGTCCAGTGACGTGAGCTTTTCTTCGAGGGATCCTTGACCCAACTGGATGGTCTCGAGCCAGCGGTTTTGACATGCGATGACTGACCAGTGGGCAGTTCCAAACATTGACATCTACGTGCCTTCGGACACTGGCGCACCATTTTCAGCACGCTCTGTACCTGCACGACGGGATAATCCCACCCCGCACTGTAGCACAACGAGAATCAAGCACCTTCATCAAGTCGCCCAGCTGCACACAATGTTGCATGGAGTCTTCCGGATCAGGGCTGTGTCCCAATTAGACTAGGAATTCCCTCTGCTCGCCTGATCGATGGTCTCGACGAAAGCCAAAGCATCCAAGCTCGGAGGATACCTGCGAGGCAAGCACGAAAACCTCAAGGTGCTTTGAGCAGTTCGTCCGTGACAAGAAACTGAGCCATTTAATTGCAGTGCAGGGCAGGCGACAAGCTCACAGGCACCGGAGAGCATGCCTCAGTGCTGGTCCTCGTGCCATCTGAGCTCGTGCGAGAAAAGATCCTTACTTTGCATCTGCACTGACCTGGCCGGATGCACCAAACTGTGCCAGCCCAGGAGCTGAAAGAGAAAATCGGTGGAGTTAAGGTCGTCCTGTCCTTGGCAGTGCAAGGCTCCCCGATGCAAATTCCCACTACCGATGGAAACTGCGACCCAGCTTCAGTCATGCTCAGCCGGTAGCGGCTGAGTGGATGCTTGTCGCGCTTCCAGCCGACGACCCAGGTCTGCAGTCCTTCGCTCTCCGAGCATGTACATGGGCCAGCATACAAAATCAGCCAATACAGCCGTCAATGTAGCGATCGGTCCTAGAACTTTCCGGAGCATGTAGCTCAAGTGCATGTCTTCGCCCGTCAGTCGAGAGAGCGGGGGCTCACGCAAGAACGCGGAGGCGATCCACCGTGTTTCCTCTGATTAGAAGATAAGAGAATCAGGAAGTGCAAGGATGCCTTTCTGAATGCGTGAGTACTTAGCTCATGGACAGGTAGGTGTGGACACAGAGGCCTCTCCTGCAAATGGAGGGCGAAAACTGAACTGCAACTGACACGAAGTGGTTGAGAGCAGTGTCGTGTTGCCAGGACATGCTGCATTGAGATCTCCAGACAACAGGTCCAAAGTGCAACTCAGGATCCAAGAACCACGCAGCATTGGCGTAGTCAACAGCTACCGGCTTCTTTGGTCGGTCCACCCATCTGGCAGCCGCATAAGAAATGGTTCTTATTCGCCGGCCACGGCCAAAGCAGAGATCTCCCACGCATGACCATCAACAAATATGCATGCTTGTCGCGATTCACGCCGAATCCATGGCTCGGGTCACCTCGCTATCTCCGGGTCACCCCGGCGGATGTGTCCAGCATGCCCCCAAACTCCTCACTGAAGACTGACAACTGTGTGACACTTTCGTGAGATCGTGCCAAATGATGCCTGCAAGGCAAGTCAGCCTAAACATTCCAGCAAGTCCCGCCATCGTGGAGATGCAAAGTTGGGCAAAGCTCCTGGCTGTTTGCGGATGTGGCGCAAGTACCTGGGCTCCGAAACGAAACATACCAGATCTAGTATATCTGCGACTGACAAAAGCACGCTGCGTTCCAGCAAAGATGAGTTGGCCAGTTCAAATGGCGCTAGGTGAGTCTAGGCGCTGGCCTGTGGCAGAGACGGGGAAAGAGACGTCGTCGTCGACTATGTACACGTACCTGAGAGACATGCCCAAGTGGAGGCAAATCCTGCAAAAGCCCTAACTAAGAGCCCTTCTTGCTTGCAGACTGGGGATTACAATTGGGTTCAGGCAACTTCCGAGGTGCCTCGTTCTGGCTGCTGAGGCCAGTAAGAAACGGCCGTAAACACCGAAGTCCACCTTCGCAGTGCTTTTGTCTGCAGCTTTTGTGGCCGTGGTCTCCTCCGCTGCCAACATGCACCAGCACCGGAAGCCTCGCTGGAAATCAGCTTGACCTTGCTGCCCCCGTTGCTGCGGAAGTCATCCACGACCGCCTGGGCAGGAATTTGAGGCCACTGCAGGAGTTGGAGGAGTAGCTCCGTGCGGATTTTCTTTACCAATTTGAACAAGGCAGCTAAGCCGACTCAGCCCTTTCCTCGCTCAGTTGTTCTCAGAGCGCCTGATATTCAGCAGCCATGGGCGATCCGAAGACCTCGTGCTCCAAGGCAAGATTGCGAACCGTGGGAGCGACTCCGTTACGAAGGTTGCACCGTCAAATGATTGTCGGCTAGGGCTGCTCTGTAGCCAGGCAGCACAAAGCCACACTTCAATCGCTTCTGGCGCGGCTGCAGCTGCCCTGTCTTGGCTGGAGTTGGGAACTATCGGTCGACGCAAACCTTGACTCCACTCCTCAGACGAGTGTTGGAAAGCCTTCAAGTCAGGAGAGGCTAAGCTTCCCGGAGTAGACGCTCCTGTCACATCCTGCCAAACTCGGCGTTCCTGAGCGATCTGAAGCTGTTACCGACCTACCCTAAACCCAAAACCCACAGAGCCTGAGCTGTCCGAAGAGGTTCTCGGGGGGGCGCTGCCAGTGATTCAGGATAATCGTGACCTGACGTCTCAGACGACTCAGGCCCTGTTGCCGGCCATGACTCAACTCCCTTCCCCACACCATCATCCTGTGACATTCTGTCAAAAGCAGTACTGTATGAGTAGCCTCGAAAATCATCGAAAGCAAGCTTCTTCATCCGGCCTCCTGTTCATGCGGCGATTCTAATTCCACGAGGTCTGCATAACGCTCCGACAGGCGCGAGGCCTCGGTATGCCGGAGATTACGAAAGCTCTGCTCACTTGAAACATGCTGGCCGTTCTCGCGCATCCTGTGCCTGAGCCAATGTCAAAACTACTCTTTTGTTTCTTCAGGGCATCTGTGCGACTTTGAGCTTGCGGGCCAGTGAAGCTTCAGGATTCAGGACCCTGTCGTCGGGCAACAATAAACCCGCAGAAACCATCGCATGAGCACCTTTGGGCTAAGCTCCGAGCACGACGAAGGCACTGACCGCCCTCGGAGTGACACTCCTTGCTGCACTTGCTCTGATCGGTGCCTCTCCCCTCCCTTCACCCACAGCAAGCATGGTCCAACCACAAGCCTCACGTCACTCCAAACCCCCCCCCCCCCATGCATTTCCCAATTCCTCAGCCCACCTGATTACAACATCAACCCGGCCAACGCCACAATGCGTGCAAAGCATGTCCAACAATCTACACGATGACCCATAACAGTCACAACATGATCCCAAACCCAAAGCCACTTCCCACACACAAAAGCAAGAGCAAGAACATGACCGCTGAGATAGCCTACCCTAATTATAACATCACTTTTTGAGTTTCTATTGCGGGGTGGGAGGGCTTTATTATACTAGGGGGTATGAGGTTAGGAGCTGCAGTTCAGGATGACAAGCTTATGGCTTTGTGTGGTGGCTTTGTGTTGAGTGCTTTGTGTGTTGTGAGCAAAGGTGTGAAAGCGTGTGTGGGGTTGCTGTTGTGTGGAGAGCTGGTTTGTGTTTTGATCTTTTAGAAGAGTTGCTTTCTTGGGCTGCTTGAGAATTGGGGCCTAGTGGCCTAGCGTTAGACGGTTAGACCATGTTCCCACACCCGGCGCCTCGAGAAGCTGAGCCTCCAGGAGCCTGGCCTTGGAAAGCAGTTGCTGCGAGCTGGGCACCCTGTCGCCATTGGGGTGGGGGGGGGGCGGGGGCGCATATCACTGAGACTGACAAAAAAACGTCCTCAACAAATCACCGTTTCTCAGAATCTGCTGCCTTCCCGCCCTGCAGCGTTGGCGCCAAGATCAGGATCCTTAAAGTTTCCCGCAGGAGAGCCCAGAGCGCCAAGGTGGCATACTGTACATGACCTGCAGTCCGATCCTCGCATCCCTGCAGCATTGAACTGATAGCTGATCAAAAAACCACTTGGGAGGGCAGTATGGGACCCTGTTTTGCCGATCGGACATGACCCCAACCATCCGATCTCGAATACACTCGAGCAGCTCGGGGGAAATTCGGCCGGCACACACGGACCTAAACCTGCCACGATTCCACGGCGTCGTCCATGAAGAAGGCTTTCCCATCGACAAGATTGCATCAAACTGCCATGTAGACGATGTTTTTGTACATGGATCTGCTGGCTGGCACCGTCTCACCAATCAGGCCCCGGTGCAAGGCTACTGCATCTGCTGCCTTGCCTTTCGCAGCTGCGGGCGAAATTCACAGACATTCCTGCGTGATCCTGCATCTGTCCATGAGCATGCATATATATGTATATATATATATATGTATGTATGTATGTATGTATGTATGTATGTGCGAACGCAAGAACCGGAAGCGATGTTTTGTCCCGTTTGTTTCGGCAGCTTCGTGCTGAGTTACGCTCGGCACCGCCGTGCTCAGCCGAGGGAGAAGACCCGACTTTGGCAGCATGACCTGGAGGTGAAGTCCAGGAGAGGGCGCGCGAAAGCGAGCCATGGCTCGAGACGCTAGATGTGTAGAGTGTAGAAGCTTACAAACGACACCAGCCAAAAGGCAAAAGCTGCTTTGGGTCCGGCGCTCCTCGTCGTGCCCACAGGTCGCCTAAGAATCAACAGCCGAAGCACGTCCAGCTGCCGTGGTGGGATTTCTCGGCACTGGCTTAATCGGCTGTTTGGTATGTTGCTGTCTTGGCAAAAACTGAGGCTGTCACCCCATAAGGCGCCGAAGGTGCTTCGCAACAACCTTGGCCTCCTGCCACGATAGAAGGGCCTGACATAATGCAGGGTTCGCCAAAAATTTAAATCTTCGCATGCGAGATGAAGGCTTGACTGGGAGCCTTCATCGTGCCCTCGTTGGAAAGAGACCTGCATGAAGGGGCAAAATACTGCAGGACGAACCACCTTTGGTCTCCAGAAGCGATTTGTCGGGAAATCTCGGACCCTTCCCGGGTTTCACCCGTAGCTGTGCTGTACCTGGTCCAGTCGCCAATCGAGGTGTCGAAGAGTTGCGTCGAGTCCAACAGCTCCAACTGAGGAATCACGACCTGCTCCGGATGGCAGGCTGGAGCAAAGGATCCACGAAGCTTCAACGACAAGCCTCCAGAATCTTGTTCACGCGAATGAAATTCTGCTCTGGCGTCCTTGTGAAAACTACTACAGCATCTTGAAAATTACTTTGCAGTGGCTGCGAAGAGCTTTGCACAAATGTTTATGATCCCAAAGCATGAACAACGCCCGTCTATTGGCAAGAGCTGCTCCTGTATTCAGACTTCAAGAGCACGGCCAAGCCTTTGACAAGCTCGCACTTCGCCTTGCAAGAAAGCCAGGACTGCTTTCGATATGATGGCCGCGGTGATGTGCCATGATGTTGTGAGAAGTTTGATGCGTGTGGTGGAAGCCTGCAACACAACATGCAGGCCGCAGTCTACCGCTCAACGAATCCGACGAATCTTGACCCGGCTGTTTCACTTCCAGAGAGCAAACGCTGTGTTCTTGGGCATGGCAACACCCTTCAGAAACACGTGGGGATGCGGAAATTGGAAGCTTATTCAATGCATGATCTTCGCTATTGAACCGCTATGGTTTCTTCTCACAGCACAAATACGCAGCCGCGAACATGAACTGAAATACCTCTCAGTCTCTGTCCTGTGTCAGCGGTAAGTTGAACCACGACCTCAGCACCCACTTTGGGCTGAGTTTCTGCAGGCCGTGCAGGAAACTTGCTGAATGAGAGGGCGTGGACAGCATGGATGATCAGATCGGCATGTTAGCTGCAGCCGTATGCACCACCCGTGCTCTGTCTGCAAATCGACAGACGTTCGGATTGATGTTCAGCCCTGTTGGAAACTTAAACCTGTGAACTTTGCAATTTTCTGCTCTAGGTGCAGACGTCTATGTGTCGTTCTCGACCTCGCGCTAAGCCTTTCTGGCCGAAGCGCTAACGAGCGGAGATCCACCTATAAGTTGTTTGTCAAATTCAACTAAGATGAACAAAGTATATTTCAGCCTTGACCGAACTCCCTGCTGTCCGAGGATCTGATGTGGCCAAACAGGAAACGGGACACTGAAGTCTCGCTTCCAGCGAGCACGGGTTTCCTTGACGAACTGGTCAACCTCACCTGGCATGCACGTTGGCCTGCACATGCACCTTCTGCATTCTAGACCCGTGGGCCACAGATTTCCAGCCAAAGCCCAAACAAAGAACATCAAGCCGGCGAGCCGTCAAGCTACACCCCTTAGCCCTTGCCTAGCCCCATGTCCCTGTTGTCCAACAGTTGCAAAAGATGCCGTCCAAGTTTCACCGGTCAAGGCTTCCATTGCGTAGTTGCCGTAGAACCATCCTCAGCACAGCGCTGCAAATGCATCGTCTCTATGACGTCGTGACAAACGACAGTCCCTGCCGCACTCACGTGCTGAATCCACATGATTGCAATCACGGTCGATGCAAGACTTCGCGCTTTTGAGCCAATAACTGGCAGCGAGCCGGCATTTCAGGGTTGTAGTCTTGGTTGGACTAGCAAAGGGGCCGCACAACATGAATGCGTGCCGGGGTCCAGTACAGGCCGACATTGCAGCCACACTGCTTCAGCAGCTCCTTGTCTGCGCGTGCATACCTGTGCAGGATTGGGCTTCAGAATCAGCCAACTAAGGGCATTACAGCACGGGAAGAATTGCCGTAATTGAGACCGGTCCATGACTGCGCAGTCCAACAGCGCGGGCGCCTCCAGTCTTCTTTGGGAGGCTCCATGTAAATTCCTTTTAGCTCAAGCCATGCATCAGTTGGCATGTGGCACGGTCGCACAGCTGGCCATGTAGATTGTTTGTTGCATGGAAGGCTCTTTCGAAATGCACACCACGAGTGGCAAGATTCAGCAGGGATTCGGCACCGTAGTCAGAGTTCACCTGTAGCATCGCAGAAGTTGCATGAAGCTTCAGTGCCAGTAGCCGTCATGGTTGTCGTGGTCGATCCTACTGAAACAGTCCTGAAGCAGTCCTATAAGTGGCCGGTGGTGGCAGGGGTGGAGCCTGATTCTGGCTAGTACATGTTAGTACTAACTGCTTTTCTCGTCGAATAAGCAGAGGCAGCATGAATAGTGGTTATCGTCGTCGTAGCGGCGACGATTAGTGCGATGCGTTGGCCGAAACGGAGACGCAAGAGACGGAGGCCGCAGCACTGCTTACGAAACCTTGCTGCGTGGTTTCGGCTGTCCGGTGAGCCGGAATCCAACACTTCCGAATTTACCGATGCCTAAAGCCATCTATACCCATCTATAGTATCTATATCGACAGGTTTCTCAGGGTGTCTGTGCTCGTTGTGATGCTACAAGTAGCGTAGTGGAAGCAGCCTGAACGACTGCTCGCTTCCTTTGTCATGACGGATCACCTATTCAAGCCCCACCCGTGTGCATCTCTTCATTCTGGATGTTCTCTTAGGAGGTGAACGAGTGAGACGAGGCAACTAAAGCCAGTGCTCAGAGCATTAAGAAACTAAGATATCAGGGAGCTTCTGCCGCAGTCGTTTAAGGCTGTCGTCGTCGCTGTTGCTGCCGGCACCGTGGCCATGGAACGCAGTGAATTTCCGCTCGGGTAAGCGATGAATGCTAGTAGCAACGTAGCAGCAGCAGTAACAACTCGACGCCCACACCAACTGTCCCATGCACTGCCGAGTGCTCGATGCAACACTAGAATGATTAGAAGAGCCCAAAGACCACGAACATGACGCGGGCGTAGTTGTTCCGGCTGTGGCTGTGGACGATCGCGTCGGCCCAAGCCATGGCTTGTTCCGGATACTTCCTTGGCTCTTTCGAAACGATTCTGTTGCCTCCCGCCTTTCTGCCCACATTGCAGGGCTGACTTGGGACGGTAGCCACGACCAATAAACAGTAACATACTTTGTGTGGAACCAGGGGCTGCAGGTCGAGGTCTTGGTAAGTTTCATGCAGCTGGCTGCTTGGATGCGGGGTGATTTGCTAGGGCTGCTAGGTCTGAGCATATTGCTGAGCCTGAGTTTGGCAAAGCTATTCTGCCTTCGGCACGTACAGAACAAGAACTGCCGGACTACAGCCAAAGCAATTTGAAAGGCGTGGTCTCTTACCTTACCTAGAAAAAAACTTGGCAATTCCGCGGGCCTGCACACCGTCTAATTATCAAGCAGACTTTTGACTTTTGTATACTTCTGTTGTCCCTTGCAGCTTCAACTTAAAACTTGGCTGCTAACTGGAAGTGCGGTAGGGTTCCAAAGGTGCTGGTTATACATCTGACGAGCTGCCGCAGAACCTCTTCAAAATTGTCCACAATGACGAACACCGGCTTAGGTAGCAGAAGTGGTAGTGGAATTCGTAGCTTCTCCATCAGGAGGCAGAACCATTGCTGCTTCCTGTAAGCCCAGACACCTCGGCCATTCAGAGTATCAGTACGCAGGAAGACATGACGCACTTCGCTGTTTGAACAGGACAAGGCCTAACTTGACTAACTTGGCCAAGCTGACGTTTGTCACTCAAGTTGCTCACAGCATGCTTGAGCAATGTCAGACGGCTCACCGAGTCTTGGGATGATCCAGTACCTGGGGACTGATGTAAGTCTGATGTATGAAGTCGAGACGCATTGCTTGACCTCCGAGCCACCTTTCACGAGAGTGCCGAACATCTGGAAAGTGATCCACCTTGAGGTCGCATGACAAGAAGCCACAAGGAGGCCGGCCAGCCAAGACTAAGTTGCCGGTTGGGAATCTATGTTCGTTTTCTGCATATGACAGTGACTTGTGGAACTTCTGTTTGCGCGTCTGTGGTTCGCACTGTCGCTCTGCGAGAAAGAGAGATGGAGAGACATATAGAGAGAAATATAGCGGGAAGAGGCAACCAGCGGTGTAAGGGGAGAGAGAGAGAGAGAGACAAATAGATAGATAGATCGATAGATAGTCAGAGAGAGAGAGAGGGGCACGAGAGAGGGACGGAGAGAGAGAGGGAGTTAAAAAGGATCAGATGTGCCGAGAGCATGGGCCCCAGCGACAGTTAGATTCAAACCTGACGACAGGAAGATGGTATATCTGACTTCACTCCGAACTCCTGCAGTAGCTACGCAAGCAAGGCATGAAACGGTAGCCAGCATGCTGTCCGAAGCTGTCTTGGCGATGCGCTTCGCCACCTAAGCATGCTTCGACAGTAGTCCCACGGTCATCACTATCAGCCGAACAGACGTCTGGTCCAACAACTCGTGATGTGTTGAAGCATCTTGTGGGCTTGGCAATTGCCTCTGCTCCTTGACTGAGCGAGCTTATGAAGCTGTTTGGCACGCACTCCTTGCAGGATGCCGAGCCAAGGGGCCATTCATGTACAAGCCTCGCCAGCAAATCCAGCTTAAGGGCCAAATGGTCCAGCGTCTCGACCATGGTATAGCCTCGTGCGCAAATCCATGGAGTTGCATCGAGCACCGTGGCTTCAATGCATTAAGATACGCAAGTTTTCAAGATAACACAACCCCGGCGGCAGCGGTCGACACCCAGCGGTTCCTCTCGTTAGCCAAGAGGCAGTGCGCAGCAGCATAGTCTTGCCACTTTGGCATTCTCCCTGCAGGACGACAATCCTTGGAAGTAACGGGTCTGAGGGCTCCCGGAGCTACCAAAGCCTTGTTGTCAGCTTCGCCCTCTGACTTACATTTCGGGATTGTTGGCTTCACTACCAGAGATATGCATAGCAAGGTCCTTCAAGGTTGAGCATGTCAAGCAGGATCTGGGGTGGAGAGCTACAGCTGCTCGGTGCAGACGGAAACATCGCACATTCAATCAACCTATGCTTGCCGATGTGCGCGCCAGCGTGCGAGCAATCATCCGACAATTACCATGCAGAATCACACAGCTCGCATTACGGAGTACACACCTTGCATGGCTAGATCTCCATGTCACAACATGTCCCAACTTGCCCGGCAAAGTCCCTGCAATCATGTCGCAGTGCCCGTCTCTTTCACCAGTAGTTATGTTTTGGTGTTTCAAGGGCCTATACTGCCTATACTACGCCTCCGATCTGCAGCTTGGCTTCCGATTGTGTCTCAGAAGCTTGTAAGGATCGGTGGAAAACCTCGGTGTGGGGCTTTGAACCCGAACAGAAGACCGCGCGAATGCGCGTCTGCCATTGTGCTGATTCACCCGTAGCCCGTTTGAGGTCCAAGTGACCATACGTGCTGCGATGTCGGTGGCAATGGGCCGCCCTGGGCCATGAATGCACTGGAGTAAGCGCTGCGGCAAGCGGTGTGGTCAAGGAGTCTGCAGACATTAAAAAAAAGATTCATAACAGTTGCCAGGGTGCTTCCATGCGAAGTCGATTGAACAAAGGCTCAACCGGGTGTGCTTGGGGATACCTTGAAGGTTCGTACCGTAAAATTCAGCATGGACTTTGGCGAATTCAGTTGCGATGGAGGCACCAATAAACTGCTAGGCGCTTCTAGTTTGCTTCTCTACTGCCGCAAAGATGCATTGCCCGCTTTGCAGCGCGTGTCACAGTAACCGTCCCGATGATAGCGCACACTGTTTGGATGAAGCCTGTGGGGTGCGTAACTTGGAGCACAGCCCAACAAACAGGGGGTTGTAGCCGTGAGGCGCCAGTATGCACCAGTGCTCCTAGCATCGGCAAGCGCACAGTGAAAAAACAGTCTGGGCATGACAAAGCACGACTGTTCTCACCCCTGCTGCCTAAAACCTGCGATATGGAAGTCACATATTACGGCCATAGAAAGAGGCACACTTCTGTCTCTGTTAGTAACTTTATGTTCTTGCTCAATCTTGCAGCTCCGAAACCGAAGCCCGTGTCAAGACCATACTTGACTGCCGTGTCCAAACCTTGGCCAACATCGAGCTCGGCCAAAGTTCAGTTGTGCCTACAACCCTTTATGGTCTGCTGCTGAATGCAATCGGGCGTGAGTCGACATTGCACTAGGGCGCATGCAACTAACTGGTGCAGCCCCAACAGTAGTCAGTAGTGGATGCACTTTTGTGCCTGTCTGTGTTGGGGAAGATGTTCGCGCTCTGCTTGCCTTCTGGGCGCAATACAGCCTTTTGAAGCCATATTGTGCTTTTGGGAAACAGCTAGAGTTCAGAGCTAGGATGCTCCATTTGCCCAAGGCTTCAGAATCTGCCACGACCCCCGGGAACGCTGGAGGCATCCAGTATATCTGCTGCTTCCTTTGCAGCCTAGCGCATCCTCTTGACCTTGCCTGTCTGCTGTGTACCTACTCATCTGCGTGCTAGGCTCTGTTGCCCAGTATGAACGACAGGGGCGAGTTCTCATCACCTTGGCTTCAAACATTGACGGCATGTCGTAGGAAGACTGTGGCTGGACCCACAAACATGCTGCTCGTATGATGCTTAGTCAGAACGTCATGAGCTGTCAAATTTCGCTGCAACCCTGAAGCAGCCATACGAAAAGCTAACATGCAAGTAACAACAACACTACGACCCTGGCGGCTGTCGATTCTGAACAATTCTAAATTTGAAGCTGCCTCGCCCCTATACTGCACTGATGCAGTCGTGAAGCATATCACTAATGCCGCTGGTATGCACCGGCGCACATACACTATGAACAGTGGTCATATGGTGGTGCGGCTCCATGCCGGTGGTGCTGCTGCTGCTGCTCGTGATGCTGCCGTTCCTTTTTTGCAGCAGGCTTTGTTCGCCCGGAACTGCTGTCGCCGTGAAGCAGTGCAGCACTCATGAGTGCGCAACCCCGCACAGCGCGTACTTATGATAGGCCATGCAGTTGGACAGCCCAGCTGTGAGGAATTATGGCACTCAAGACCACAAAAGAAAACTGAGTGCTTTGGGGACTGTGCCTCCTTTCGGGCTCTAATATGACGTCACATACCACCTCTTCGTGCGTCTGGCAGGCTGAGCTGGGTCCAAGTCCAAGATACCCAGGATCCTGGCCCACTCGATAAGGACAAAAGTTCTCCCGAGCAGAAAACACTAGGGGGCTTCGAACTTCAGGATTCAATTTGACCAATGACGACTCGCACTTTTCACTCGGCTTTTCTGCCCTGAATCTTCTCCGTAACAATCATGAAGCACCAAATGTCATGAGAGCCATGTTGAAAGCTCCATCTTATGCACGCAAGTCTTCCGCCTTCGCTTTGACCGCCCTGGATTGGCTGCGCCATACAATGGAGTCTGAGATGCTCGGCAAGGGGCAGTGTTCCGTCTAAGTGGCTTTGTCCAACCTGCTGGAGACTTTGCTGCAGGTACTTCAAGTGGCAGGGCCTCATCCTACATTTTGCAGTGGAAGTCAAGGGGTCTAGAGTCCAGGGTGAACTGCTTTGCAACTTGCTCGCGACAAACCCTTAATGAGCCATCCAAGGCTGCAAGTTATCAACGAGTCCAGCTACGATTGATGCATCCCTGGCCACTTTCCGCAGAGTGTAATATGGAAGCGAAGAAAGCTCTTTCCCGGCTTTTTGCTGAGGGCTCCCTGCCCAGATCCTGACCTAAAGCCTTCGCTCGCCGCTTGGCTGCTCGCCGCCACTCAAAACCCGTGTGCGAAGGCTCTGGACGAAGTCCGTGAGTAGGAATCTTACATGATCTTATACCAGGCCGTGTCGGCACACGATCAAACTTTCCAAATGCGTCGCACCCCGCTTCTCTTCGAGAGAAAGAGGGCGGACGGTCCAGGTACCACCCTAACACGACATTGATATTGATGCTCGTCAACGGGTGTGGATAGCAAACAGACAGTGCTGTGTTGGTCATCCCAGTTTAGTTCAGAACCTAGTGTCTGGTGGCAATGAGAGCTGCTAGCAGCACGGACGGCCCCAACTTGCTCTGGTCATGTTGTTGGGTTTGGGTTGGTAGAGAGTGTGGAGTGGTCTCAGGCCACAGCGGCCAAGTTAGTATGGGCCCGGCCGATTACTCCGTGCCCGCTTCACAAAGATCGGGCCAGCACCTGCCGAGCCGCTTCTGATTTGCCCTTTCTGAGTACCGTTCGTGCTTTATCCGCTGCTGGCTGACCCCGGCCTGGCTTGATCTCATATTTCTCGTGCAATGTCTGTATTGCTGTCTCTGCCTGGCAGGGATTGAATCACAATTGCACCCCAGCTTGGCTTGCTTGCAAGCTTTGCGGTCTCTCTGGACAGGGCTGAATATCATAGCGGCCAAGCGAGATGGCACCCGCCGCAAGTTCCGAATCATCCGCACGGTGCAGCCGGCATGAGTCCACAGTCTCAGAACATCAGCATCCAGTCTGAACTTCCCCCCTCCATCGCCCATGATTTTTTCTAGCCCGCCTCGTCGAACAGCTCGTACTCTACAAAGGCGCAATTTTGGCCACTCTTTGACTTCCCGGACATGATGAAAGTCTGAGCAGACAGGGCGCGTCTTCTTGTCACATCGCAGTAGCGGCAACACAAGCGCAAGGAGCATCACCTCTGACAAGGCTGAAAAACCGGCTGAATAACAAGTTTAATCGGTCGAAGCCCGTGATTGCCACAAGATTTGAGTACATTCTGGTTACATTCTCCTTTATGGGGGAGGGCCTTGAGCACGTTGCCATATGCTTTGAAGACCTGAGCAACGCTTCTCTGCATGCAGAAATTGTGGCTCGCTCTATGAAGAACCCTGCTTGGTCTGGCAACTCATGCTGTCCAACAGCCCAGGGGAGCACGTACTGAAGCTGGTCATCGGTGACATCCGGGGGCAAGTTGCCTACGAAAAGCCTCGTCCCACCTGGCATCGGCCCCACTGCAACCAACGAATTGTAAGCCTTTCTCAGAAGCAGCATACATGTTCGAAATCTAGCAACAATGAGAAGCTCATGATAATCTTGTGTCGGAAATACCTTTGCCATTGCCACCTGCCATGCAGCCACAAAAATTCGTGATCTCTTGGCCCCAAAAGCTGGTATACACGGGACTGCGCCTTTGCCATCATCCCAGCCGCCACCACCGCCTTTGCCTCCATAGCAGCCTTTGTCAGGACAATGCAACTCTCCAAGCCAAGCGCTCCAAAGCCCAGCGCCTCCTCCGCCTCCTCCTCCCTTGCCCCAGCTGTCCCAAGATTCGCCGAGGCCGCCCTGCAAGGAACACGACGGCAACGAAAGACGTGACATGCGAAGTGTGCCGTTGGCCGAGGATGCCAGTTCATGCTCGGGCTGGGTACCAAAATACATTGGCACCGGCTCTGCTACAGTACGGAGTGAGCCTCTACGACTCCATGAACTCTGCTACGTCTTGCTGCGGCAGGAAGCAGGATGCTCAGCTTCACCTGCATGCCACCACCGCCAAAGCCGCCACCGCCACCGCTATAGCCGCCGTGGTACCCGCCGTCTCCCTGCCACCGTGCGAATCAGCAAGTCTAAGTTTATCCAAAGAAGTGCCATCTCCGAAAGCCTCTCGCCCACATATTAAATATTGCTTCAGTAGTTTGCTACCCAGCATTCAACATCATGCTCGGCTCGCTCCCGCGTTCCTTGCCATATCCGTTGCTCCAGCCGCCGCCGCCGCCACCGCCGCCTTTTCCTCCATCTTTTCCTGGCAACGATAAGCAGCTCTGTGAGGTGGCATTGCTACAACATTGCCTGACACCGTTCCAAAAAGGACAGCACTAGAAAAGGGCACCACCTCCCTTGCTTGATCTTGCCCAATTCACCTTGCCGGGGTCAAGCACAAGTGCGTTTTACAACAGCGCCAATGGACCCTTGTCGTCGCTGAACACTGAGGGAGGTATGGGAAGGCAGCGCATGCTTACAAAGCCACAGCAAACTTTGCAGATGGATGGAATGCAGTGATGCAGCCATAAATGAATTATAGCTGCACATAAATGTCACACCGGGTTTTAGTAGGCGACCCTTTGTGAAGTGCTCTGGCTGGGGTCAGGATTCTTTTTTTTGTATGTTCCTGTCTGCTAAGCTATTGGTCAACCAGGTCCTGGCTCCAAGCATCATCACATCTAACCACATCAGCAACGGAAGGCAAACAGGGCTCCAGGCATCATCGCATCCAAACGAAGCCGTCAGCAACGGAGAAACAAAGCTGGCCAGGCGGGCTCCAGGCATCCTCACATGCAATTACACTGCATCAGCAACGTAGGGGAAACAGAGGTGGCATGGCATCACCTCCGGCACATCCAACCACATCAACAACTCAGCAACAGAGTGAGGGGGGTGAGGGGGTAGAGCGGGGGGAACGGGGTCGGTGGGGGACAATTCTTTGGGGGTCTGGCCGGCCTCCGGACACCCAGTGGTAATGCAGATGGGATTGGTTGGTGGTGCCGCGGGTGTAGGATAAAAGAAAAGGTTTTTCTAACGAAGGGCTTTAGTCTTGGTTGCCCCTTAGCTCTTGATACTGCGAAACCCTCTGCTACTACTGTACACTACTCTACGACTGCTTTGCTACTGTATTAACTGCTTTTCTGTAAGACTGTCTTACTACTGACTGTATTGTTGTACTCCTACTGTAGTCACTGTAGTACACCTGTCCTCCTGCAATATACGCCCGCCCCCTCCCCACACCCCTCTGAAGAGCCTATCTCCCTGTACAGCCCCAGGACCGAACGCATCCCTGGATTTGTCGGATGTGCAGATCATGCTGAGTAGCAACACCGCTGCACAATAAAGCCTCCGTTGCTGCGCAGACTGCTTGAACTGTCCTTCTAGCACAGGCCGTGAACTTCCCTGAACCCATGGCCTGGATGGCATTCTCTGCATCTTCCCGGATCCTTAGCTCCGGCCAGTGCCGGACCGTCGACTTCGAGTTTTGATGGCTCTGACAAACCTACTAGAACTTGATCGTGTTTCCTGCGTCATAAAATGCTGTCTGTCCCGATTCTTCACAGCACCTGGGGCCAACACTTGTAGACCTGAGAAGCAGCTGAATGGTGGGGAATGGAGTTTTCCACTTTTGGCGGATATATCAATACACAGCAGGCGATGGCACCGGGCGACGACCACAGCGATTGGAAAAGCGGGACAGCATTGGGCTGTCCTGGCCCGCAATACTCTGAGCAGCGCGCGCTGTTCAAAGCCTTCGCCAGGCGAGAGTTGTCACATTGCTAAGTTGAGGCGATGTCAAGCGAAGCAGCAACTTCGGCTAAACTGTAAAAATCTGAAGTGTAAACTAAACCACCATACCGGACCATACCAGTAGCAAAACGGGCTGGAGTGCAACAGCAACACCAACTGCCTGTCCCGACCCAGAGCAGTGAGAAGGATGGCACGGCAAAGCTGCTATAAGTTGCCCGAAGTACAAACACGGTCATGACTTGCAGTGGACCTGGATTGCTGTTTCTGCAGCTTCTCGGCTCTCGTACGTTACGAAGGCCTCGACGACACAGAAGCAACAGTTGTATCCAAACTGCATGAACTCGCCATGCCCTGACTACTGACTGTCAGACAAGCCCTTCAGCGCATCTTCGAATATGGTTCGGTAAGACCCCTCTGCCCAGGGCCCTGGACCCTCTTGTCGCTAGGGGTGCTGTAGCAATTGGATAGGACCCAATGCACAGAAAGGCTCCTCCCACAGGTTTCAGTCGCCCCCTATCACCTGCCCCCTGCTCCTTTCCACATCTTGCCTTTATATATACATATATATATATGTATGAGGAATTTATGGTCCGACAAATTCTTGACGGACCTGATACGGAACTAGCGCGTTTGACTAAGCCCTATGTTCGTCACTCATTCTCCGAGGACTCAGCTCGCATGGGTCCTCATCCAGTGGTTAATTTCACTGCGGCTGGCTTCCAGTGCATGCTTGTGTCACATTGCCATGCATCGCTTTTGCAACGCAGCCTGAGCTTGATCACACCTGAGCGCGGTGCGCAAGCTTGTCCGGTCTGCGATCGATTTCCTTGGTAACTCCGTCATGACACATTTCTGTCACCACCACTTCACACAAACCAGGCAACCAGCTTAACTGGCAAAGAAACTCAGAGTAACCTAAAGCAGCCAAAGCTGCTGTCACCAGCGATGACATGAACATCCGTGACAGTACCATACGTCTTGAAGACAAACTCGATCTCCTCGAAACACAACTTTCAGAATAGTGTTTGGTTCCGCGCAAACCTGCCGTGTTGCTCGAGGATGTAACTGCATTTGCAGCAACTGTCCTCCTTCTGGATGTCGGGGGGTAGGGAACCCACGAACAGCTTGTTCTCCTCGGCACTGCGGCTAACTGAAGCATCACTGGTCTTCACGACTGCAGCCCAAAGCGCAGACCGCCTCAGCCCTATCCTCAGCGCCTCAAAAAACGGCCACTAGGCACCGGGGCGACGCTAGTACCGTGCAGCCAAGCTGCGCCCATCTCTGCCCAAAATCAGGAGTACGTCAAATCCTTCAAGAATGCAAGAAGCAAAAACGGGATGGGCGAGTAACTTAGCAGCACGAAGGTTAAAGCCACTCGCAAATATCCAAGAGCCACTGAAAATCCAAACCGGTTCTATGCCCTCTCAAAGCTTAGCCGGAGCGAATTCTCAAGCCGAAGTATAAGGGCCAAAAAACGAGTCAAACCTGTCTTTAATATTCTTTAATCTGGTGCCTCCGCTTTCTCCGCGGCAGCGGGGCCATGGGCGCGAGGGCGGCACCCAATGCCCCTTTGACGTCCGGACCGATTGCAGCAGCAAGCAAGTAGTCAATCTATATAGATTGGCATGACCGCGACGCTTCTATCGCAGTTCATGCAACTTTACACTTCAGAGACAAGCCTCTCGGAAGAGCTCTCGTAAGTTCTCTTTGGCTGTCACTTGACCCTGCCCTGGTTGGGGCTCGGTTGCGGGGGTGGGGGGTCGGGTGGAGATCCATCTCCAAGCTCCTTTTTGGCGCTTGTGGCACCTGTTTAAACCTCGCGGTGAAACGAACAGGAATCGCAAACCTCAGTCGATACTGGAGCTCGAGCTAGATTGGAATACTTGCAGTCAAACTGGCTTGGTAGCTAGAGACCACAAAGTGCTGCTACAGCAGCCGGGAGGTATGAAATTTGAAACGCTCGCTGGTGTTGCTGGTATTAGTCTTGCAATGCTGCGGTCAGGGCAGGCTTATCTGACACCCCCATCGGAACCGAAACTCTGAGCTTATCAAGCTAGTATGGCCCCATCCTACTCTTGACAGGCGGCCCATCATTTGCCCACTCCACGAAGATGAACTCCTGAGTTCCTGCACGGGCAGAGAAAATCCAATCCACGAAGCACAAAACGGAGGAAAAGATTCGCATTGTCAGGGGGTCAGGCTCTGTGTTTTCTCGCGATGCAGGGCATGTAGCAACCAGTGCACCAAAAAAGTTCGGCCCAGCTCCCATAGCACCAAAGCAACACTATTAGACTATGCGAAACATCTGCGACAATGTGGAAAAACACAGCACAGGGAAGAGCCCGCAGCGGCTGGCACACAGCTGGGACCTCTTCTCTGCACATTACCACATCCCGGTGGTATCTTCAAGATCATTCAACTTGCCCGTCAATATTCCTTGTATCTCTTCACCAGCATGTGGCTGGTAACATTCGCGAAATCCAGTTGGGGCATTACTGCCACGCGGCACTTGTCACAATCAGGCCACCTTCGACATGGTCTCGTCTTCCGCGTAAAGATGTTCCATCCAAAGGCTTCTCCGCAGTACACTCCCAACGCAGCGCAAACAACAGCAGCGCCGTGTGAGCCGACAAGCACTGTGTCCACATGGCCCTCTAGTTCCAGTGTGTACCTGCAGCTGGGGGTTCCTGCTGTTTTTGTCAAATGTGTACCAGCCCAACAGCACATCTGCAGTCCAACATAAGGCACAGCATGCAAGGTTGGAAGACACGACACATGTGCAGAACGTAATGTTGTTTTGTCTCGCAGTCCTGCACGTTCTCTCGGGACACACGTTGGGGCTAGCGGCTAAAAGCTTTTCCCACTGAGGGCTGGAAGAACCTGAAACAGGTTGGGTTGGGAACCTTAGACATCCGTAGAACCATGGCCGGGTTGCACGTGCTCCTCGAAGCTGCAGGACGGTGCTTTGCAGGCCTCGGGGCGGCACCAGGAGCCGTTAACTCGCACCGGATGGCCAACCTGAAGTTGAAGACAGAGTGGACTCGCAGCCGTTCTGATGCCAACAAAGGTAAGGAGGTGAGGGAGACTACAGAAAAGCAAACAGCCTGTTGTGTTTCGAACAGGTCCAGAAACAGTGAGCTTGCATCCTGGCTCCACCTCAACGGTTTCAGTGAGGCCAGCAGCACAGCGCCAAATCCTGCTGATCTGCCGGTATTTCTCGCTTTCAACGGAGGATCCTGTCCGCACCATGTCCCCCTCTCGCAGGTCTCGCATGAACTTGAGTGTATTTTGGCCAGAAGCGGCCAGGACATGGAACTCACAAAAGTCCGTAAAGCAAGTGCAGGGAATACGGTTCCAGTCTGGGCTGGATGTACGTCTTGTAACCACTGGCGGTGGCCGTTTGATTCGCACCAGCTGCACCACAGAGCCACGGGCAACCTGCGTGTCACCCAAACGAACATCAGCAGGAACCTCCGTGCCCTGCACGAAGAACTTCAGGTCCTCTGATTCCCCCTCTTGACGGAGGAGGGCTGCGAGCTCAGCCACCGTGCTAGTCTTTGACATGACACGGTCAAAAACCTTGGCTGCTGCACTTGCGCACCGCAGCGAGTACTTGCAGGTGGGCAAGGAGCAATGTTGTGCTGCCCAGGAACCTTGTCGCCAGACATGAGCTGCACGCTCACACTGAGCTTCATGGAATCTCCTCCCAACCCGTTCTGTGTCGGGCTTGGGCAGGTCCAGGCCCCTGGGTCTCGGAGAGACTTCAGGAAGGCTTGCCCAAGTCGCCCGCCAGCTGACCTCAGTTTCTCTGCCAGCCAAGTGCGGTCTCCACCTGGAATAAAGCAGCCGAGGGCAACGGCATCGTCCGCTTCAGTGTGCTTAGACTCCCACTTCAAGGCGTCCTGGAGATGTTGAGACTGCGCTAGGTCACGCAGCTGAGAGCGCAGCAGCTCGTTTAACTGTGACATGGCGACTCGACCTGCGTCTTTCGGTGAGCTGCGTATAGGCTCAGACTCTCCAGGCTTGCAGGGCACATGAGGGAGCAGATGGTCAAATATGCGCCGGCAATCTTCAGAATACAGGGGGTGCGTCATATGGGCGTGCCATATCCAGTCCATCTCCACGGCAGGCCCGGTTAGGCTCTTTGGCCCCGCCTCACCCATGATGATCCAAAAGCGCCTGTAAAATACATGCAGGAGCTTGACAAACCTCGACATCAAGTCTGGCTCCTTGGCTGCAGGCTTGTCCATCAGGCAGACGACAGCTCTCGGATCACTGAGAGGTGAAAGGCCAGCTTCTTCAAAGGCAGCAAATGCAAGGACAAAGGCTGTGGGAACGTTGACTAACGCATCTGCTTCCATTGAGATCTGAGAGTCGGCCTCTCTGGGCTTCTCCACTGCTGTAGCCTTCTCTTCCCTTGCCTTCCACGTAGCCGATGTAGCCGGAGGCAATGGTCCCACACCGAGCCCAACCCCAGCCAGCCGCTGGCAAAAGCCAGCATAGTCGTCCGTATGCAGCTGATGGGTGAACCAACAAAGCCAAGCATCCATCGGAGGGCTCACAGAGGGCCGCATGTAGCCAGCATCTCCAGCAGGGTGTCGCGCTGCTATGGCTGATTCTTGCCGCATGTACGCCAAGTAGCTGGGCTGGGCCTCGGAGAGGAAGAAAGAGAAATCCCACCACGGCATGTGCCGGGCAGCGTCCATCCAACTCTTCAGAAGCCCAACGGCCGAGAAAATCGGTGACACCTGCAAGGGTTGGCAGCATTGCAGCAGCTTCACCACTGCATCCACAGAGCCAAGCTCCGCGTCTTGGAAGGATCGCACAAAATTCCCCGAAAAGACGAGGCCTGAGTTGAAATCCAAAGTCACCAGACCGTCTTCGGAAAGGGTCTTGAGCTCTTCCAGGTCGCGTGGAAAACCTTCTAGGAGGATCGGGCTTCCCCAAGGTCCATACATCGCAACCTCCTTGAAGATTTCGGCAGCCACGAACTTGCTGCCTACGGCTTCGCGGATGCGGTCGACGTTGATGTGCTTCAGACGAGTCCCCAGCCTTGCAACTGCCTGTCGGCATACAGCGCCATAAAGTTTCGGGTCACCGCAGGCAAACACCAAAGAAGGTTGCATGTGAAACCCTGCAGATCCTGAGACAAGCTGAGGGCTCCCTGTGGCATCGATCTGCCGCGTGATCCCGGCCTTGCGGAATGCAGCGATCACCGGCTCCGTGCTCATCCTGTAGAATCCGAGCCTTTCCTCAAACTTCTCGTCTCCCTCCCGCCCTCTTTGCTCGGCTCTTTCTTTTAGGAGGTCATCAGGAGCTTCGAGAACCAAAACCAAGGAAGGCTTCACCACATCTGAGTGGTTCTGCCAGAACCGAAAACCGTCCATCATGCGAGGGAAGCCATTTACAAACACGAAGTGGGCAGGTTTCGCAGCAACTGTGCGGACTGCCTCCTCCATCTCTTGACGCAGGGCCTCGACCAGGATGGCTTCTGGAGGCCGACTCGAAAATTCCCGCAGGGTGACACCGAGATCAATGTGTTTGCCTTTGAAATGCTTGGACAAGTTCTCCCCCAAGGTCGACTTACCGCTGGCAGGAGGCCCCATGAGCAGCACGACTTTGCATGGCTCGTAGGCCCCGCCAGGAGATGTTGAAGCGCCTAAGTGGGGTGGGGCGGTATGCTTCGCAACAACAAGGGCCGAGAACCCCAAGTGGACTTTTGAAGCTTTCACCAAGATGCTGCCTGCCATCTCGTCTCTGTCGCTCATCTCTCGTTTCCGCACTTCCTGAAACGAGTCAAGAGTCCGCACAGTGCCGAACTATTCTCGAGTTTCTTAGGGAGATTAAGAACCGGAGACAAATCGAAATCACCAGTCTAAAGCAGCCGACATCAACCATGCAGTGCTGACACTACTGCTGTATTGTATTCACCTGAGTTGCAGCTGCTAGCTGCTAGTACGCTCTGGTTCGCCGTGGCATTCGACCATGACGTAGGGTGCCCCACCACTGAATGCAGCGCAGCGTCGGCCATGGATGCAAGTAGTGCTTTGGCCTGATCCTGTGACACCTAAGCCGTCCAGCCAGAAAATGTCAGCACCAAGAAGCCAGTCACGCTTCAAAGTAGAGATCTCTCTACATGACTCTCTATCCATGTGTGCGTGTGTGCGCATGCATCACATCTGTAAGCTCTCTTCGGCTTTGCCCCGCGGATACTTGACCGTTGCACCTCCAGCTGTTTCAGGAGGTCAACAGCGACTGCAGAGCCTTGGCTCTTGCAAGCGTGCAGCGCAGCCACTAGACCGTCGATCCGCTCCTTCTCAAAGACGGGGACCAGGCTGTCGTGTCCAGATTTCTGAAGCCAGCTCACCACCGTCGCAAGGCTCCAGGATGACAGCGAGGCACTCATGGCGACATGAACTGCCAGCCGAAGGCGACAGGGCTACAAATGCCCAAATGCCGCTGTCACAGGGCTGTACTGCATGTGCAGGCCGGAAGTGAAACTCTTCCGAACGGCTCGAGCATCAGTGACAGAGCACCCCGCGAATTCCGGCCTGCTCTCATGGAGTAGCGATTGTGCAAGCCGACTTGCGCCGCTTCGGCCTACAAGGTCAAAGCGACACCAGCAGCTCAGCAGCTCACATGCCTATGTTCACTAGCATCTGAACTGACCGGAGTACAAGAACGGAGCATTCGTCCTGATCCTGCGCTTTTCGGTGGTGAATATGATGTTTTTCGACACTGCCACAGTCGCTTGCTTTCAGGCTACATCACTGAGGGCTCTGCGTCTTCCAGCTTGCGAAATTCTACCTAAGGTGCCCGGGGCGCTTTGCTGCTAGGATGTGTGGCTATAGTTGTATTGCCATCAAATGCAAGGGCACCAGCGCATGAGCGCACACTGCAAGCCGGGATTCACACATAGGCGCAGCTCTTGTAGCCCTTTGCTCCACGGCCGCTGATAACATGAACCTGCCGCATCATCTGCAGGCCGATGTTACTGGACTGGGGAGTTCGAGACAAGCCAAAGGGCCAATCGTCAGAGAGTGCCACTTGTCTGAAACTGCTGGGCGAAAACTATTACCAGCCAGCGACTCTCTTGCAAAGACCTGTCACAAGCAGGACGAAACCCACACACTACGACCTTGTCCACCATGCCATAGTGCTCGAAGACCTTGGAAAGCTGTGTGAAACCCTCTCACCGGCGTTTCTGCCGTAGAACAAGAGACATTTCCCGCTGGTGGAGCTGGAAAGAAGCTGATAAAGTAGCTTATAGGTCCACTATAGGTGACGCTGGGTAGGTGGATTACAGTAGATGAGATGTCCTAGCTGAAGGAGGCAGGGAATCAGGTTCGCACCCCAAGGAGCAGGCACTGGAGCTCGTTTTTTGAAACAGGCTTCACCTCTCGATCGCACAGCGGAAGCAGGCTTTGAATTCCAGCACCTTGCAGCAAGTCGTAGGATCTATAGAAGAAGCGTGATGGCATGTTCTGCTCAAGAACACGGCTGAAGGTCATCGCATCTCCTAGCACTTGCGTTCTCCCCATCTGCAACAATAGTGCAGCAGCAGCTCTGCACCTCTTTGCTTTGGTGCATGCCCCGAGAGCCAAATTGTAGCTCATCGTGTCTGGCTCTATATGCTCCGTGTGGAGCCTGTTAAGCAGCAGTATGGCTTCCTGCCAACGTCCAGACAGTTCGCACATGCTCAGCACAGCATTACAAGTTATCAGATTCGGTTTCACTTGTCTGCTAGCCATGTCGTGAAATAGGAGCAGCCCCAGCTGCCAATTCCTGCACGCACTGATGACCGGGCTAAACGACAAAGCATCGGGTTGCAATTGTAACTGGTCCATGCAGAACAGCAGGCTGACTGAGCCCTGCCACTGCTCTCCATCAGCGCACGCCTTCAACGCTGCACTGCAGGTGTCCACACTCACTTCACATCTCCCGTCTACCAACTTTTGAAGCAAAGCCACCGCGCCACGCCACTGAATGTGACGGCCACACATTGTAATAGCAGCAGTGTGTAGCGAAGCCCAACCACGCTCGAAGCACTTCCCCAACAAGCCTCGGAAGAGTAAGTGAAAAGCAGCCTTCCAAGCAAACCCGTCACTGAAGGCTGCCATGGCAGTCGTGCTGGTGGCAACATCAACAGGGCCTTCATCCAGGCTCAGCAAACTGAGCGCTGTCCGCCATCTCTGTCCCGAAAGGCAGGCTTTTGCAGCGACGGATCGGGTGATTTCGTCGTGAACGAGGCCCGTGCCATCGGCATGTTGCAACAAAGCCAGCACCAAGTCCCATGACCTGCACGCACCAAGCGCTGAGGAGCAGGTGGTCCCGTCGAGTTGCAGCATCGACACCCGGAGCCGATGAAGTAGACCTACGGCATCTTGCCACTGTCTGCTGCTTGCGGCAGCATGTACTGCAACATTGCAGGTGACTACACTTGGCTGCAGCCTTCCACTGCACAGGCCCGTCCGCAAATCGCTGGCAAGCTCCCACTGGCTGCCAATGTCGCAGGCACATAGAGCAGAACTCAATGTAAACATGTCTGATTCCAGGCTGAATGTGCGTGAGCCATCAAACAGACATAACGCCCGCTGCCACTGCTGCGTGCGGCAGAATGCAGTAATGGCCGCGTTGACCACGACGGTGCCGAAACGCAGCTCTTGACACAACACTTCTTCGAGGAGAGCGGCTGCCTCCACCCAGTGCCCACTTTTGCCGTAGGTAGCGAAAGCAGCGGTGCACACGATACCGTTGAATTCCATTCCCATGCCACGCATATCTGACAGGAGTTGAAGGGCCTGTTGCCAGCTGTCGCTCTTCTCTAAGGCGCTAAGCATGGCGCCATATGTGACAACATCAGGTTGCAATACACCTCCTGGTGTGCATTCACTGAAAACACCGACTGCCTGCTGCCACCGCTCATTCCTGGTAGATGCAGTGATTGCGGAGTTCGCAACGACTGTGCTTGGCTCGATGCCTCTGCAGGCCAACTCCTTTGCCGAGTCCAATGCACCGTGCCAACATCCGCCTTTGCCGATCGCACTAATGACCGAAGTAGCTATCACCACATTGAGCTCCAAACCTCTCGTGTGGATTCGATGCAGCACGGAAAGCGCTCGTCGCCATTTGCATCCTTTGTCACATGCATTTGTCGCCACTCCGTGCACGCGGATGTCTGGTCGAATCCCTTGCCAATCAAGCTCTGAGAGTCGATGGAGGGCATCGGGCCAAAGACGATCCTGCATAGCAGCATAGCAGGTCAGCCCGTTCTTCCGCGGCCGAAAGGGATCATCGACAGCTGCATGCCAAGCATGGCCAAAGAGGATCCCTCAAGTACTGATGGGCATCGAAGGGTCAAAATGAACGACACTGAACAGCGGGAACAGAAACCACGACTTCGTCGTCAGGTAGCAGCCAACTTGTGCTAAATTAATAGGCAACATCGCATGATTGAAACTAGCGGATGCAAGGATTCTGAGCTGGCCACTTTCGAAACTGCAGGCACGTCGACATCGGCGGGCAAGTTGTAAGCAATGAGCGGGCCTGCTGTGAGACACGTGTATCTTGATCAATGGCAGGTCCACATGGGAGTCCAACATATCTAGGATTCAGGCTATGCCTATGCCTCCTTCAATCTGAGCCTCTGCCAGAAGTGTCTAAACTGAAGCTGCTACGACGACTGCACTACAGCTGTTTGGGACGGACTGTGTGTGTAGTTGCGCCAGCGGCCATGATGAGGATGAGATTCGGCGATGCGAACGAGAACGAAGCCTATTGCTATTGCTAAACCTTTCCTGCTGGTCTCTGGATGAGGCCTCGTGATCTGCTGATGGGATCCCAGCCGGCTCTGCCTGCACCAGAGAAGCAACTAGTCATGTCATACACTTGTTTCCGTCACTTCACTCAGTAACTAATTATGTTCGGACCATCCGCGTGGATTGTTCAGCTCCGGCATCTGGCTGTGTGTTGAGTTTCAGCTCTCACAGCTGGGACGATCCAGGTGACGCCCGATGCGAGATCGAGGGTCTGACGAGTGATGCCTAGTGCGACGGCATCCCACGGCAAGCAGAGCTTTCGACTCGCGTCACTATCCAAAGCATGATCGAGTCAAGATCCGCACTGCAACTTCGGTCTCTTGCCACTGGAACGAAGGCGGAAGATAGAGAGAACTCTGGGGTGCGCATGGGGTGACACACCAGGAAGGTCGCTGCTGAAATCCCACTTTTGGGCATTGTGCCACAGCACAGAGGGCGGGAGTCAGAGTTGGGTTAGAGTCGGACAGCTTTAAGCGAGGTCTCGGCAGGAGCTGAATCTCGTCCTACACTGCGACGTCGCAATGAAGGCTTTTTGATGTTCTGAGCAAAGAGGTTGTCTCAGCCTTCACATTCCTTACCTGTGAGGCTGAAAGCACACAGCGAAGTCAGCTAAGTGCGAAAGGACAAACGTGGTTGTCACAGGTCGGATGGCCCTAGTTGCCTGCCCTCGAAGCCCTTCCCTTCACGCTTGCAGACAGGACGCCTTCAGCCTATTTTCATCCTATAATTGCGATGTGCACAGTCTGTGGGGCCTCTCGCGTCGGCAGGTCGCCAACCTCGGAAGCGGAGTCCGGTGCGCGAGGAGATCAAGTAGCATCTCAACTGTCAAACTCGCCGCAACCATCCTAATTCGATTCTTTCTTCAAAAACTGATAGGATCCGAAGCTCCGGAACCGGAGCTGAAATGGGCACCTGGCCGCCAGCCCAGGCACTTCCTGTGATGTAGTCGTGCGGGGCCTTCTCTCGGAGCAGAAAGCGGGATGGGCAAACAGGTGCAACACGACAATGCTCCATGGATTCCATGGCTTGTAAGACTTTCAATTATCCCAGCCGGGACCCGGGAGTCTGCGTGGTCCATGTGGTCCAACGAAAACGAAGATCTATAGCTAGCGCACGGTCCACCAAACCAAACGAAGCTGCTTTAGCAGAAATCTGGTGAGCACTCGTTTGCTCCAGGTGGCCCTAACGTCAATCGAAAAAACTTCCTACCCTTTCTCCCGGCCTCCGTCAAAGCTGCTTTCCCAGGGGCTGGCTCCTTGTCCTTTCCTTTGCCTGCCATGCGAAGTAAGGTGTGCAACACCAAGCGCTGGGTTTCACATTAAAAAGCAAGCATACAAGCATCTCGATGGTGCGTGCCGTCATCGCAGATGCTTTTTCTATTTTCCCGTAGCAACAATCACGCTGCGAATGTGGCCTTTGTCACCTTTGCGAGTATTCGCCCACTCCACCTGCCAGCAACCGTCGTTCCAGAGCGTATTGACTCTCCGAAGCTCTTCTCCAATCAAGCATGGGAAAGCCGCAAATCTCAAGAGTCGGTGAGTTTTTGCTTATCAGCAAACGTTGCATTCACGAAATGATCGCAGCAAGCATCCATCTTACTGGGGCCCCTGCTCTAAAGGCGTGTGGCTCGATGCCACCTACCCCTACTCGCACTCGAATTAACATCTTTATTGAAGAAGCGACTGAGAAATACGCACACACAAGCTCTTCAACACGTGCACAAACACGGAGGAAACAGCACTCGAAGTCCTTGCTGCTCAAACTGACACTTAAACTGGCAGAGGTTCTGAGGCTGTTGAATGTACACGTTGCCGTGCTGTGCCGTAGTGTGCCTCTGCTGTAGCAAGGCCTGCCAGTGCTTTAGCTGCATCCTCCACGGCTCCTGGCCTCTGACATTCGTCACTTCGGCAGGAACCCTGTATCGCCTGGTGAAACCAATGTGAAACACGCCCGGTGCAAGTTGCTTTCTGCAGACGGCGGCTGCCACAAGGCAAACCAGGATAGCAGCTCCCAGGAGAAAACCATCGTCGGCTTGAGAGCTGCGAGTACTAATATTCGCCGTCGACGAACCTGGACCGCCGACAAACAAACGGAAACACAGCTGCACCAGAAACAAGTGGTTTAGTCGCATCCAATGCGCAGGAAGAAGATCAATCTTGGGCTCTGGGGTGTGCTCCCGGGGGGTACCATCTGTCGTAGTCGAACCCTGCTGATGCAACCAGGCAGCCCAATGGGTCCATACTCGACCTGTTTGTCAAGTGCGGGGCCGCCCCCGCTCACCTGAGATCGCACATACTCATTTCCTATGGCCAAAATTAACCCCAACCGGATTAATTACGCAACAAGGTCAGTCAAGATGCCCAGGCCAAGTTTATGAGCACCCTGTCCCTTTCGAGTCCAGTGCCAACCTGAGCCACAGTCAGAGCACCCGGCCAAGTTCCCGCGAAGTCTGCATGTCATCAAGCAGAGACAGTGTCCGTCAGGTGGGCATGACAAGGGGCCACTTGGTATCTGAGACCAGGCCCGTTGACCAAGGTATCATGGGAGATCTGGAAGACTTCCTGTCAGAACAATCTCGCTGCTTCAGACGCGCTGGGATTGCCCAAGCAAGTACATTCTATCGGCGGGTTGGCGACATACGATTATTTAACGAGGAAACATCGAAATGTGCAGACCTGCTGCTGCACAGCCCTATGCAAGAGTTCATGATGCCAATCTCATGGTCTGGATGCGCATGCGATTTAACCTACGTGTGACACCCAGCAGACTGCAGGCGAACCTGTGTCAAACACTCGTTCTTGAAGATCGCCTTGGCAGCAAAAGGTGGCCAAATGGGGGCCTAAAAGTTCAACTGTTCAACCCGTTCAGTTGGCCGATTGGGCACATCTGCGTGACATGGCAGAGAACTGTAGTCCGGTCTACAAGGTTTCGGTCATAGATGTGTAAGTTTAGGCTGTAATGATACAGGAATTGCCGAAGTCTTGGGCAAGGTAGTGCTCTTCCTCCCTTGCAGTGGTCCGGGTGCGACAAAGGAACGCTCATCTTGCAAGTGACTACCAGGTCCACTCGATGCAGCGCGATCTCCAGGCCCATATCAAATTCCATCTGCAAGCGGGGGCACTTTGCGGGCACTCCGCCGCACTTGGAAAAATGTCGCACGTGAATACTGTTAATGCTGTTGCACACCTTGCTGCCTTGCATGCATTCATCCAAGATCTTGGTTCAGCAAGCACACACAACTTGCAATGGCCCATTGCCCCAGCACCAGCTTTAGTGGGATCATGTTTGTTCTGAACATTCTTATTGCTGGTAGCGATACTGGTCAAAGGAGTTCATCTCCCGCTCCCCTCTATCCGATATCCATTCCCTCGTGTTCGGGGCAACCCCAAGGTGCTCTTCAGTGCCTTGTTTCCAGAGCCAGTCAGATGCACCGGCGCCGAAGGCGCGGGTGCTGCAGATGCAAGGACTCGAACGGAAAAAATGCCTCGAGGATGCTTGGTTTTGATGGAGATGTGAGCTGACATGAATCATACTATCACAAGCCGGTCTGAGATCTTGCACTTCCCTTGCTGATTTTATTTGTGAGAGACGGAAAGCTTTCACCGAAAGTGCATAGTTCCCTGCTTTGCGCACCCTTTTCCAACTGCTTTCGCTTCGGTGGCGTGTTCTACGATTTCATACGATTTCGGACTCCCTTCGGAGTCCTGATCGGCGTATCTCGAATATCTGGGTCACATTTCATAATGTCGAGATCCAGAGGACCGACCGTTTCGACCCTCACACTCACCGACCGTTTCCCTGTCGGTGCCCGCAGAATGAAAGTAGAGCAACATCGAGATAGCTATATAGGGTTCGGGATTGGTGGGAGAAGAACAAGCATTTCTTGATTCCGAAACTTCTACGAAACATGGCCACGGAATGTAACAAGTTCGAAGTGATCGACTCATGCAGATCCTCGGAGTCGGTGAATGATGAAAGCAACGAGTTGTCATTTTGCACACGCATGTACTATGCTAGAAGTTGCTACAACACGGCGACCACAACCAAAACATCCCCACACCCCAGTAGCACCGCAAACAATTCATCCTTTCTTGTTGATTGTTCCAACTAAGCCCCTACTACTACTACTACTACTACTACTACTACTTCGTACTACTACTACTACTACTACTACTACGACGACGACGACGACGACGACATCATAGACTCAAACGACGATGCCGGCTGCTGCTGCTGCTGCTGCTGCTGCTGCTGCTGCTACTTCCAATTCCG